TGGGTAAGCTGGCAGGAATATCTCTACGCAGGCTCTAATTTTGTAATGAATCTAGAGAGATTACATGACCCATAGTATTTGTTTGAGTTATACAATTATTAGGAATCCATAATTTACAGAAAAAAATTTTCGGAAATATTATTTTTGCTCCCACACAAATTGCCATACAGCTGGGCGCCACTAATATTATTTATTAGGAATCCATAATTTACAGAAAGGAGTACTTCCTGAATTATTTAGCGCCGCAGGCAAAATGAGATGTGTAGCCAGAATCCAAGTTTTGTGGGTCATTGATAGCAAAAAATTGATTGACTGCAAAATCCGTGTATCTGCCTAATTGTGAACTAGCGGCTAAACCGTTCAGTTTTCTTCAAAATTGATATTCCCCAATCGATCTGGCCGATGTCGTGGCTCCTTGAATTTGAAACCAATATTATAATTTTGGGGGGTTCTTTACGTGAATCCTCTGGGACATTTCCAAAATTTTCTAAAAAATCGTTCCAACGTTTTTGATTAAATTTCGTTGTTGGGTACGTTTAAGAGAATGGTGCAGGTCTCATTTTCGAAAAATTGCAAAACTTCAATTTTTTCCGCGTCTTCTTACAACTACAATTGTGAAGATACATTTTTTTCTTAATGAAATGTGTTCATCCAAAACATTTTCAAATCAGTTCACATTAATTTTTTGAAAATATGAGTATTTTTTGCTTTCTTAACTACTGCTTACTTTGCTACTACTTATGTAACTTAAGCAATTTTTTAAATTTCAGACAATTATTTTCTCAGACACGGCTCTATTTTTTTTTTAATTATTTTTCGCTTATGTGGCAGAAACAGTGAAAAAGGTGGTGCTAGTCCAATTTTCGGCGCACTCTGAATTTTCGAAAATGTTTGGGGATAGAAGATTACTGGGTTGGATACTCTGATTTTCGTTTGTTTTAAAATTTGAAGAAGGACCCCTGAAATAAGTTTTTTAAAGATAGGTATATTTTCCGTTATACGTATACCAGCTCACTGGCCGAAAGTTTACGCACAGAACAATAATACGTTCCTTCGACACGAAAAATTTCGTTCACCATAAAGGAGTCAGTTCTCTAAAATGTGAACAGATGAACGTTGTGATGCAAGTCAATCAACATTTACGCGGTACATTTGAACATTAGTTTTTCATAAGGCATTTATTATTATTACCATTTAATAGTAACACTATTACTATATTACTATTTTTAATGTTCTATTGGCGAATGATAACAGAAACCAAAATTAAGCAATACCATTTAATATTTCTGTTAATCTTGGGTTGACGGTGCACTTTAGTCATGATCGCCTCTGCTACTCTCACTTGTTTTAGAATCTACTACTTCCACCATCACCACCAATTCTATATTACTACTTTAATAACACTTCATTGGGGGTTGCCGCCCCCATACCCCCAAATTCGCAAATCACATAATTCTGTGAAGAATACATTAAAAATTTAAAAATAAATCGGGAGTCTTGACACGGGTTGTCACTCTGTGTGAACTAATTATTAGAATTTTTCACGCTAGAAATCTAATTTTATAACCGACGCATTTTGACACCAAGTGGATCACGACGGATCCAAAGTGTTGCGTTCGTGAGGGCCTTCCACCCCCACCCACCCCCCTCTCGAGACCTGGTTCGCGCCTCCGCCCTCGCTCCGGCACTCACGCTGCTTTAGAAACCACCCTCACTTTTAAGATAACTTCTAATAACAAATAAACGTTTTAAAAAGTAACTCACCTATTGATTAGCATTATATATTTTTGCGATGTGTTGTAGAAATTGTTCATCTCGGTAGACAATAGAAACTAATTTAAAACACGTACAGTGCGAAAAACATGCAATTTCTCGCCGTCACCATGAGAAAAATGTATCATGAAACCTTTCCACGTTCAGTTAACATTCTGTAATACCCAACATCAGCAAACAACACGAGAAGTGCAATGTACAAACAATTCACCTGACTTCATGTAAGGAATAGCACAGGAAATGACGTAAATAAATCGTAGTAGTCATAGATACTTTAATTAATTGATTTTTCATCGTTTTGAAGCTTCTACTAATGTAGTAGGAGGTCCTGTTATTTTCTTCGCATGAAAAACATCTTCATTAGTATAAATCATAAAATCAGTGGTAATATTTTATTTTTGATTTAGTAAAAAAAAAAAAAACAGTAAAAACTGTATGTGACGTATGTACGAGAAGCTCATCTGAGCAAGTTTTCTTGAGTTCCAGAAGATTCCCTTCCCATTATTTTAACTTTATATAGTTTAAAGGTGAATAAAAGTTAAACAAATATAAAAATGACAATAATAATAATAATAATAATAATAATAATAATAATAATAATAATAATAATAATAATAACAACAACAAGAGTTAAAAAGCGCGAGATTAGCAACATTTGAATAACTAAACATTTTCGTTCTAGAGTTATAGAAAACACTTGCATCAGTAAACAAACTCCAGATTTGACTTTTCTGCATTGCTAACAAAATAGTAACTTACCCTCACCTCTACTCCTACCACTACAAGTAAACACAAGTTCAACAAAATGTGCGCACAGAGAAAAGATATTTATGCCCAGAAGCAAAACAAAGGACCAGCTCAGCATTTGCTCAATAAATCAGAGGAACTGAACAAAACCTAATCGAGTGTGGTCGTTGACACGGAAGCTGAAGTACATTACTTGTTACAGGCATTTATGTTTGTTTTCTTTTTTTTAATTATACAATTCAAATGTAAACGAATGCATTATATATCATTGTTTTGTTAAAATAAATATTAATATATTTTATGATCAGTATAGTCTACTTGCATAAAAACAGTTATGCATCAGATAATATTTTACTTTTAACTTAAATTTGTGTACCGACTTTAATTGTTTTATGTCACTTGGCAATTATTTGTAAAGTTGTACAATGTATTGTACACGTATTGAATGTGGATTTCTTGTAGAGATCCGTTGATACTGACACTTGATGAACGTCATTTGTACGACGTGTAATTATACTTATCAGTACTGAATGAAAATATGTTCCCACCGTCAAGTAAGTCAGTTTGGGCAAAAATTACAGATTCGTAAATAAATAGGCACTATAAGATTCTGAGCTCAATAAAGAGAGGTTTCCGGGGATTACGTGGATGGCATTTTTTCATCATTCGAATAATTTTCTTTCGCAATCTACGAGTAAAAGTCCGGGAGGAACAGAATGAGCTGCCCCACAATATTACGCCATTTCACAGGCGAGAATGTACATTTTCAAAATACACGCAACGAGCTGCATGAAGACTAACAGAATTTGGAAGAATCGTGAATTCGTAACACAAGGAACTTAATTCAGTATTTAATTTTGTTGTACATTCCGTATGAGGTTTGATTGAATTGAGATATCTAGAAATTTTGTTACTTGAACACCAGATTGTGAATGATTTGCATTAAAAGCGTCTATGATGTTATAAATAATAAAATCAGTATAATATTATAAAGTAATTAGTAACGGGAAAGTGCTAATTTAAATGTTTCTCAAAAAATATAAATTTGCACTACGAAAAAAGAACCATTTTTAATAAACAAGGGAACCAAATCTTTTGACTAGTAAACTGGTATATGTATATCGGAAAATATCAGAATTAGAAGATCTCCTGGGTGAGAATTCATAACAAATTTATCAAATAAAATGTTATTCCCTTCTAATTTAATTTGAAAGTTTGCCGTCGACCACGACGTTAAACAAACCTCAAGGACTTTCGTAAGGTATGTGGTGTGTGCTGCTCTCTGGCGATGGTCAATGTACAATGCTTCTGAACGATCAGTTCACACGTGATTATTCGTTCGTGAAGTGGTCACTGAACGATTCTGTATTGTCGTTTAAACACAAAACTTAGCAGTGGCGTTTTCCACCCGTGTGCCGGAGGTGAGTGGTATGTATTAGGAAAGGGTTTTAAAGCCGAGTTTTGCATCTATCGGACAAACAAAAACTTTAAAGTGAAATCGCGTGTGTTAGCATTTATCTTTTCATTACGTTTCGATGGCAATGTACTTAGGTACGATAGTTGCACGACTAATTTCAATTGTAGGTTAGGAATCGAATATTTTGGCGTAATTGGTTAACAATAAAAATAATTGTTAGAAAGAACACTCTTTAATTTCTATAGAAACTACGTAACATTCGTCTTAGTTATTGTACTGTGCTGTCTTTCTTTCAGTGTAATTCAAAATAATCTTACTGACATTCTAAGATGATCCGTATTCAAGGAGCTGGAGAGCGTTTAGACCCAGTGGAAGAAAGAAAGAAAGTTAGGCAGACAGTTTTAGTGAATTTGGGAACTTTCTTTTTGTTGTGTGGACTCATTCGAGCAGGTACCATTTTTGATGTAGTGTACAAGTGTAATGAAATTGCCTACAGTACTTACAGAGCTTATTATTTTTCACAGTTCCTGTTGCCGGAAGAATGTTCTGATTCATCAATTACAGATATATTAATCATGTACAAATTATATGGAGGATCAAGAACTATGATAAAAATATTGATATGAAATCTGTAATGGCATGACTGAAATTCCCCATCCCCACATGTAAATATTTTTTTCCTTTTGTAGTACAATGTTTTCTTTTATATAAGAGTACAGAAAGTGTTCTCAATTATGTAGTAACAATTATCAATAAATAATAAAGGAATTTATTGATGTGTGATTTCAATCTATGAATAAGTAACCACGTAAAATATAATAACCAAGTAAAATATTCAATATAAATACGATTTATATATACAACTATTATAAGACTATATGATAATATAGCCTTCGAATTTCTGCTTTGATATAATAACTTTAGCATATGATAATTAAAGTTTTGAGTTTTTTAGGACTTAGTAGAGATTAAAAAATATCAAAGGTTGCTGTTGGACATACCTTGAATAATTAAAACAATAATTAGGTAAGACAAATTTATTTTTCATATTGAAAATACTTTTTCACAAATTGCTCTGGAATTGTGGAGCATTGAAACGAATGGTCATGGCATTGTTAGATTGACCAGGTTCAAATGCATACCCCAAACTCTTGTAGAAAGGTATTAACTTGTCTTTACAATTGAGTACTATTTTGTAACAGCCAAGATGCTCTGCCAGAGCAACAATTGTTAGGACAATCAATTTCCCAAGTTGTTTTCCACGATATGTATTGTTGACCACCACGTCTTCCAATTGTCCTCTAATACCAGCATCGTGAAGAAACTTTTGTTCCACAACTAGCGTAGCAGCACCAATGACCTCGTGGAGAAGCGTATCTTCGATTACGGTAACGAAGTAAGTATTCTTACATTCTTTCATTGTTGCAAATCTCTCGTGAAATTGTTCACGCGTAACATGACCGACTTTCGTCAACTGACTTAAAAGTTTTAAGAAACCGCGATCGTAATCTCCTGAATTTAGTGGGCGCACAAGAAGGTTGTCTCCTGGATTCATAATAGAAATTCTTGGATTGAACTTCGACATATATTTTGAGAAATTGGCCCGCCTCAATATTTCGGGATCATAAAGGTGCTCATCCATTGAAGCTCGTCGATATGAACCACTCATTGTCCTTTGCAAAAATCACTTACGTCAAATTGCAGTCGACAGTCCGTCTTCACTCGACAATGTCACACGTGTCGCACTGTTTCACGCGGTTGCGAGCAGTCGACTGCCACTCGCACTCGGGACGTCAAACACCCGACAGTAACAACTCGATATCGTGCTCATGGAGGTGAACTGCTCCTGAACCGTTATAATAAATGACCTTCAAATTCTTTAAGTGTCAGGAAGGAGAAAGCCGGCTGCCGCAATATCGAATGTGGTGCATGAAAATACATTGGTTTACTTCATAACGTGAAACATTGCTTTGAAGCGCACGTGTGCATTTTTGAATGTAAATAACATTTAGCCTAACCTTCCTCAAACACTTTTCTAATAACTAATAATGAAGTTAATATATTATATTATTATTTGTAAATGCCCCTTTTTCACTCTTAAATCATAAAACTATTAATTAAATTCGTACGATTGAGTCTCGAAAAGCAGCGATTATCGTTTATAGAATAGACATTAGTTTTTATTTCGAAGCCCAATAGAATCAAGATTTGCAGAATTTCACGGGAGCTGATTTCGGTATAAAAGTGATTGTTTCAAGTGGCAATTCAAGGATCGATTCCAGGAAAATGTCACACAGATGACATGGAGTGACATTATCAGGAAATATAAGAATTTATAAAGTGTGATAAAGGATTAGAATGATAGCTGATAACAGAACTTTACCTTCCCATGCAAGTTTGCTTAAAACTATTTTGAATCATTGTATAACACGAAAATTAGTAAAAAACAAAAAAGCCTTTTTTTAAATTCAAATCACCCAAATTTACGGCAGCAGGGACTGTTTCAGAATATAAAACAATTATAAGTAAAAACAAAGTATGTATGTTTTATACACAAAAAACAGAAAAATGTCTGTCACTATTACATTCAATCATATTTGAAGAGTTTAGCCACAGATTTTTTTGTCTCTATGGTTTAAAATGACCCAATCACATAATTTTAAATGTAAAAGAAGTTTGTTCTGGAATGATTCGAGGACATAGATTTCCCCCATCTTTAGGTAACTATAAACATAAGAGAAAATTGAGTTTAAAAAAATGTAAATAATAAGTTACTGATTTTTATACATAAAAATGATTCAATTACAATGAAGTACTACCACTGGGATATAAAATGGCACATGAAGACGCACCATTTAGAAAACAAAAGATAATTTATACATTAAACTAAATTTATAGGTACATATACACATCAACCAGTGCAAAAGCACATCTAGCGTGGCATTCACATTTAGAGGATTCAAATGGACAGAACGGAATTAACAACTTATTGTCAAGATACGTTTGGTTCATTTTACCTACTTGTTCTCACATCGAGACTCATAACCCTGTTTTAAGAGCTACAATGTGATGAAAGGCTAATTGAAACAAAGATCAATACCCAAAAGGATTCTTCAGTTCTAGGAAGCTACGTTTCATGTATGGGGATAATCACTATCTATTTTTAATTGCTTTTAAATCTATTTCATACTCATTAAAAAAAATCTTCTCTTGATGTAATAAATAATTAGAACTGACTTTCCGAGAGAAAGTTAGTTTTAAAACAAAGAAATGTTCATGTTATTTATAACTCTTACATACATGATGGCAATTAATATGTACTAACACAATTTTTTGTAAAATAACATTATTTGATTCATGTAAAGGCTAGGAGTAGATACGACCACAGTCTCAACAACTTTTCACAAGAAAACTCGGGAAGTTCTTTCTTGCAGATTTTATTCTTCAACCCCTTACTAATAATGTATTTTTTTTAAATATTGAATAAGAAAATAAATATTAAGTACCAATGTTAGAAATGTTCATTTTTCAGAACTGTGATAACTCTTGTTCTAAATAAAATGCTGGAACAAATAAGAGAGAATACAGTACTAAAGAAAACTATTTTTATTCTGGACATTTACTAGGGTAAAAGCACCGGTATAACCATAGTTTAGGGAATTTTTGTAGTTTTCCTAAAATACAAAATTATGTGAAACCCAAAATTTTTGTAGTGGTCAGATACTTGAATCACGTATTCCACCACTTGACAGCATTTAAAGTATTTTATGTCCACAAATGTACCAGTTCATTATTGTGTCAACATTAATAAAGTGTTTTCAACATATCCTTTCTACATTAAAGAAAGAATTTTTTTTTTCCATTCTATACCTTGCATAAGCTCCACTTTCTGCAACTTTGAAGCAAGTGAGAAATCTCCAATTCTTATTTTTCAAGTTTTGTACTAAAAGTGGCCATTACTGGTGTCTATTTATTTTTATTCTCTTGAACAAAAGGAGAGAAACATGGTGTGCTCTAAGATGTACATTAAGAGCAGAATTATATTGGTTGGATTTAGATGGTAGAAAATGGGCATCCCCTTTATTGATCTCCCTTGGCCTAGTGTTTCAGAAGGCATCATAATGAACTTATTGAATATCTCTTGCTTGGCTGGAAAATAAGGGGGTCATTCAAAACATGTTCTTTCTGTTTGTAAATTTAGATCTCTAAAAGTGAATGTGAATTCTAAACACATCTAACACATCTTTACTACTTAAAATACTGCAATGAATTCCCAGCAATTAACAATGGCCATTTCAATAATTCTGGTAAACACCATCCAATACCTGTTCTTCACTGTTATCTCACTAACTTATTTGCTTACTATACAATCATGGTGGTTAAAAAGTAATAGGTATAGATTGTGGTAGTTTAAATTAATTTATTTGATTCAATGGGGTATAATAGGTGAATTCCACTGTTCAAATTTTCAAGAGAAATTGTTCAAAATAGGCCATTCTCATTAAACCTCTCAGAACTATTATTTCAACACTAATCGTACACTAATTTTTTTACTTTTCTTCTGTTTATAAACACGTATCAGGAAGACCACCTAAAAAAACAGTAAAACTTCCTAACAGTTTCTCAGGGGACTGAAAGGAAAGAATGTTGAAATGAGAAAAACACAACTGAAGTTGATGATTGTGAGTAAAACAAAAACTCAATATTTTTACTTCGATGTGCTCCACCCTTAAACCTTTTACTAAAGTTACTTTTGAATTGTTTGGTCAGAAAACAATACATGGGTGAGAAGAACCATCTGCGCACGTTTTCTTTAGTTCTAGAATCTCTTCCCACATTTTAACTATAAGGCCTGTGTCACATGAGCGTTGCGATGACGCGCGACACAACACTGATAACTTCAGCTGCGTCGACAGCACGAGCGCTCTGGGCGACGTGCGTTGTACGCACAGCTCAAACCGTAAGTCAGAATTGCAAGCGTTTTCTAACTTTCCATGCGCGACGCGTGTTGACAACAACGCACGTCGCCGAGAGCTCTTGCGTGCCGTTCGGCTTAAATATAGTGCTCATCTACGACGCGCGTTAAATGACTCTGCGCAGATATCGACGCAGCTGACATAATCAGCGTTAGGTGCCCCGTGTCAACAAAGCACTCGTGTGAACCCTTACAAGACACACGGGCCAGACATAGTCACGCCAGTGGAAAAGGTAGCATTATAAATCTTTGATATATATTGATCAATATTAATTGCACCGAATTTGTATCGTGCTACGTTGGTGAACATCTTATTCTAGGAACCTTAGGTGAACATTATGCAAAGCCGCGCCGCAGTCGAAATTTTTCCAGCTTGTTTCTACTATTACAAAATCGAAGATGAAGATTTTTTTCCTTGAAGTAAAATTCAGGTAGAAGCTTGAATATTCAAAAATTAGGAAAAAATTGTAATGGACCTATCGTTTTCTCGATAAAAAATAATTTTGTCAGATAAAAAAAACAACAAATTTTTATTACAAATTCTGTAATAAAATTGCTCGTTCTGAATCCTTTCAACAATCAAGGATGAAATTTGGTAGACATAAGTATCTAGGAGTATTTTGGTTTATGAAAATCGAAGAAAACGTAGTATTTTCACAAACGACTTCTAAAGATTTTTACTCATTTATGCCCTCTATGGCCTTGAAATTTGTTTGTTGCTTGACATCAGTAGATAGTGACGAAACTTTATGAATACAGTCTTAGCTTGGAATTTTTTAATGGAACAATACTGTAAAATTTATTAAAATTCTTAAAATGCCATCATCGTCGATCGAGACATTCTTTGCTATCCTCCTGGGGTCAGAGCTAATCAGAAAAACGCTATTAATCGAAAGCGACAGGAAATGTAATTAGAGAAACGGAGTCGGTATGAGAGAGAGCAGAAAAAGACAAAGGCAGCAGAATTGATAGCGCTGAATAAAGAAACTGGTGGTGCAACAGAAAGGCACAGACTTTTTCATACTAGTTAGTTTTCTAATTTCATTAGTCTGGACTAGCCACATCCTCTAGCAGCTGCTATCTCTAGCTGCTCAAAGTACTTTTTTCCCCCCTTCAAATTTTCGGTTTTGTAATAGAACCGGAGTATTATTTTCATAATATTATAGAAGAGTAAAACCTCATCATTTAAGGAAATTTTCATTGAAAAATTTGGACCCATTTACGAGAAAATGGCATTTAAGAATTACGGTAAACGCGAAATTTGAAGCTTTTGAAACAGAAATCTTTTGAATTTTCGAAAAACTTTATTGGAAGTCATTTCAAGCACTTCCACACTACAATGCAATTATGTATAATGCAATGCTGGAAATGGGCACATTAAAGGCGTGAGAGATATTTAAAAAAATGCATTTGTGTAATTTTTGAAAAAATATAAGAATACAGCAAAGTGAATTTATATCATCTTAAACAGTGCACTTCACAGTATCCACACATAACATTTGGAGCCGCTTTTCAGAAAATGGTGTTTGAGCGTTTCTGAAAATGCCAAATTTTGAGCTCATTTTTACAGAAAAGTTTTGGGTTTTTGATAAACTTTGTCAGATATCATTCTCATGTACTCGTAAATGCAATAATATAATGAAATTGCAGCTAATGTAAATATTAACAACGCGAGAAACTAGTCACAAAAATTACTTTTTTGTGATTTTTGAAAAAAGAAAAGAATAGAGGAAAATGGTGTTTATGTCAATTCATAGAGTACATTTAACACTATCACAAAAGTTCAATGAAAAAATTTGGAGCAGTTTTTCAGAAAATCTGGTTTTGGTTATTTTTTAAATTGCACAAACATTACCAAAATAAAAAAAAAGTACCTGATCTTAACGAAAGAACAAATTTCATTTGAAGGAAAAATCTCAGCGTCAATTTTGTATTTCTAGGAAAACGCCAAAAAATTCAATTAGAGAAAATTGAGAGTTAGTTAAAATTGGGACCTGTGCCATCTTTATAAGTGAATTTTAATATATTCTTATAAGAAATTTGGAGTAGTTTTGGGGAAATTTTGAGAATATCCCAGGTGTTTCATGTAAAGTACCCCCAAACATTAATGAATATTTTTCAAAATGGCAAGCTTCGACTCAGACCAGATCGACAGGGATTTATTCAGGTTGGAAAATATCGTACACATGCGCTAGTGTTGTTGACAGATGGACGGACGTTCTGCTGTCAATCAATTTTTTTTTTTATATCAAGGACTTACAAAACGGATTCTGCCCCACGTGTTAGACGATTTTTACTTTCTCGCTACCACTTACGCAGTGCGATAGAAAATTATGTAAAGCTGCGCGGAAAAATTGCGGCATTAAAATTTCGACAGAAAAACTTTTATTACAGGCCCCGGGAACGAGAAAGTAGATAAATCCACTTGCTAACTTTAGGGGGAATTTCCTAGGTGGTGTAGCCAGAATTCATATGTTTTGGATCCTTGAAATCGAAAAATCGATCGCAAGACGTCCGTCCGCGAACAACTCTAGCGGCAACACCGTTCAGTTGATTTTCTTAAAAAATCCATGTGGTTGATGTCGCTGCTCCTTGTATTTGAAACCAATATTCTAATGTTGAGTAGTAAATTTTGAAAATGGTTTCATCGTTTTTTATTACATTTTGTTGTTGAATAGTGTGTAGGGCATTGAAGACAATGATGCATGTCTAATTTTCGTAGAAAACCCTTTTTTCGAAATTTGCAAAATTGGTGTCTTTCTACAAATAAAATATTAAAGATAGAGATTTTCCCCTTAATGAAATATGTTCTTAAAGACTGATTTTAAAGTACGGTCATGTATAATTTGCCAAAATTTTGAGTATTTTCCCGGTAATTTTGCGTGAAATACAGGCAATTTTTACTTTCTCGCTACCGCTACCGCGGAAAAAAGTCGTGTAATGCTGTGTGTAAATACAGCGAATTTTTGGCAGAAAATATTTTATTATTACAGGACTCTGGCAAAGTGGATAAATTCAGATGCTAAACTCACAGAAAAAAATCCTCTAACATGTAGTGTACCAAAATTCATGTTTAGTAAATAGACTGACGCCAAAACGCGTCCGCCTGCCTGTCAACAACGCTAGCGGCTAAACCGTTCAGACGATGTCGAAAATTTATATTCCCCAATCGATCTGGCTGATGTCATGGCCCCTTGAATTTGAAACCGATATTTTAATTTTGGGGGTTACTGTACATTAAGCCCCAGGGTCATTTTCAAAAACATTAGAATTTTGGGCAAAACTTTGTGAAATAATTTTAATTTTCTTTAAGCTGTTTTTTCTTCAAAATGGCGCTAATTTTTTTTATTAAATTTAGATCTTGAATAGTGTAAAGGGCACTTAAGAGAACGGTGCAGGTCTCATGTACATTAGAATGCCTGATTTTCAGAGAAAAAATAAATGAAAATAAAAAATTCAGTGTCATCCTACAACTATAATTGAGAAAATACTTTTTTTTTCTTATTGAAATGTGCTCATCAGAGATGTGTTAATTTGGAGAGAAATTGTGGTATTAATAGTATTACATAACTATTATTAAAGTACGTGCCCTTTTAGCGCCACTGGCTTCTAAATTAAGCAACTGGATTTAGCTATTTTTTTTTTTTATCAGGGCCTGCAAATAAGAGTTTTTCTGCTGATAAATCGCTGTTTCCTCACATTACATACATTTCTGTCTGCTGCATAAGCAGTAGCGAGAAAGTAAATGAAGAATTTCTTTTTAAGCAAGCTCAACTCGAAATAAAAATTATAACATTAAGAGCAAAATGATAAAAAAAGATGTTCAATAAAGATCAGTGTTTTAATTTTTATATATGCATGTATATATGAAATTATAATTATGATAAAATAGTGCAATTATATATCTAATGCAAGAGTACATGTAACACAGGGAAAAATGATAACAATTTAGGGAAAGATATACTAGATGTGTTAACTGAATCACATCAGTCATATGATGTTTAAACCCATATCCCCAGTAGGCAACCTTCTTGAAGGTCACTGGCCTTGCAGCAGAATAGAACAGAGTAAACAGATGCGACTCTTTTATGTGAAACCACACTTTTATAAAACCAGGTACTGTAACAGATACAGTGACCTAAACTGCCCAAAGAAAGGACAATATATTTTTGCACAGAGAAAATGGGGAACGTATTCTGTAAAGATTAGAAATCATAATACCAATTGAATAATGAAGGGATGCAATGCTTCACTTGCATCCATTGACACTATCCCACTGTTTATCTTAAAATTCTAGGTCCAAAGATTCAAAACCACATTGACAAGTTAATTTTCATTCAAAAATCTGTAAATCAAAGGATAATATGCATTTAAAGAAGACTCCATCTTATTTGTTTCCTTAGAATTCTGGACTTTCAGAAATAAATGATTGAAATAATTTGTAATTTTAGGTTATTTTAGTATCAGTTCAACATGACAAACCTACATGATATCAGACTTTCTTGTATTATTTGTAATGGTTACATAAAATAATAATTAAGATGTAGCTACATTAGGATTTGAATGGTCCACAGTTTATAAATCATTGTTTCAAAAGTGAAAAAAGCTGTATACTGTATGTAGCATTGAAAGTTTCAGAAAATCCATCCTTGATAGTGGAGATGCTCTGCAAATTCAGTAGGACCTCGCTAATCCAAACCCCGCAAATCCGAAATTTCGGATAATCCAAACAAACTTCAGGATGCAGGAAAAATAAACCAAAAATTAAAATGCTCATTTGTAGTGTAAAGAATTTGATAATTACTGAACAACTAATTATTAAAACACAAGTTGTCGAAATTAAATGCCTATTGCACTGGTATCTAGGGTGTATATCACATGTAAATGTAGCAGTAATTTCTACTTAAAGGAACTTGCAAAATTGGTAATCTTCTTTTGCCATAAGGAACTGAATCTGCTCGATGATGTGATTGCTTCGCTATGTTGCCATTTTCTCACATCGCACGATACGTTGCATTGTGTCTGATAATCCCATACATGAATTTGTATACGTACCATACTTTTTTTGGATAATCCAAACATCTCCAAATCCAAACATACTACACCCACAATTAGTATGGATTATCTTCTAGTATTGTTATGGATAGTTATGGAGGGTTCTGCTGTAAGTAAAAGAATGGCCAAAAGAAGAGGTAGAGGTAGTGTAGATTACATAAGCAACATAATTTGTATCCTGGGAACACAAAAACCTGGTTTAAGGGTCTAAAATCCATTGTTTCAAAGTTATGCACGATGGTGAAGTGTGTTGCATGGAAATGTGTATTTTCCGTCGCATGTGTACATGCATTTCTCTCTAAAACAATAATATGGAAACTTGTATTTTTTCATGTTATATTCGTTTGATATAGGACTGTGAAAATTTATTTGCAATAATATATAGACAAGCTCCCATTAAATTGTGGAAGTAGGAAAACTTTATATAAAATACAGTGAAAAAATTGCTAAACATAAGATTTTGATAAATACATCTTTCTTCAAGATCCTTCTAATTTGTACTATGTATTTCAATCATAACAGAATGTTTTATTGTGAAGATTAATATGGTTTCTGAGAGTTTTTGCTCACAGGGTAAAACTGAAAAACTTTAGTAAATAACCAAGTCTTAAAATGATAACAAATGACAATAAATGTAAACACTGAAAAGTCAAAACACAAAATAATTAATATGGTTTTTATTCATCCTGTTTGCTATGTTCTTCAAATAAAACAGAACAAAGTATTCCCAAGAGACGATTCCTAGCTGGTTCAAAATTTGGTTCTAACTCCAAAGATGACCTATAGAAAGTTATTGCTTTTTCAAGATCCCCCTGAAACAAGAAATGGTTAAGTTATTATTGCACAACCATAGGTTCAGCAGAAATTGAAAATGTAACACTTATTAAATGTGTATGATTTCACTCCACAAGTACAGAATATGCTATTGTAACTTGTTACTATTAGAATGTTACAAAACTTAAAAGCATGTTATCACATACCATTGAAGCATGGATATTAGCAATGGTGAAGTGGGCAACAAAAAACTTTGGAGCTAGATCTAGGGCCATATTTGCAACCACTAGAGCATCACTATTGAAGCCCGCTCTGCAAAAAGAAAATGAATTATATCAATGTAACAATGTGCTTCACAAAGTATACTTAACTGTCCATGAAAGCTTATACACAATTATTTATAATTAATGTGATATATAGTTAATGCTCTATAATTATTTATAATTATAAATAACTGACAGACAAAATGGGGCAATACTACTATTTGACACCTGGACGTCTTACTACTTATTACCATAGAGAAGTTTTGTGCATCAAAAGAATGAGTTTTCTGGACAATAAAATGGTAAGATATACAGGCAACAAATAAAATTGACCATGATAATAAAATTTGCACATACCACATGAGAAAAATAGGTACACAAAAACATGCCCATAAGTGCCAAAACACATCTTTCTTGAGTATTTAACTGGACATTGTAAATGGTTTTCATGATTAACAGTCAATTGTGTTGGTAAAGACAGCAGGTTGCAAAAGATGGATTGATTTCACTCAATTTCCGAGAGGGGTTCAAAAATTTTCTTCCATTGGAGTCATCCCGAGTGGATTTAGAGTGCATTCTCATACACTGAGTGTGTTTCACTCCTGTCTGCTAACACTTAGGTAAGAAAAAAAAAAAAAACATGTAATATAAGAGGAACCCTATCTCTGTTCTGTTCAAAACTGTGCTGAATTACATTGAAATACCAGCAAGACTGGACATTCTTTCTTGCCAAACCTCTTGTAACCAAATGTAAAAGAGATAGAGAAGACACCTGTATTGATCACTGAAAAGTTCTTAAATGTTTTGAATTTCTAGAGATTTTCACAGTTTGAAAAACATGTCGGCTCATTTGTACCTGGATTTACCTCTTCAATCAGGCTTTTAAAAACTCTCACTCATTTTCTACAAAATAAAACAAAAGTGTATAAGAAGGCATTTTAGCCACTTCCATGTCCACGTTCAAGGCATTTGTGTTAAACTAAACTCCATACCCAGACTATGCCATTTCGGTCTACTGTTAATTTCAATTTACACAAGTCACAAAATTAGGATAGACTAGTTTGAGAAACTCTGAGACTTTGGCCATCGAGATTTACATAAAACACTGAGTTCGCCCAAAACAGGTTTACAAGAAACTAAATAAAACTATAAATATTTAGTACTGACTTATTACAATGCTTTAAATATCTCTTTTCATCTTTCACAATTTCTATGAATTTCACCCAACTCAATGCATTGTTGAGCTGCAGCTCAATTACTGTCCGTCTTATGAAAACTTACAATTGTTAGTTTTGTATTTCAACAAATCAAGTATACATACCGATTCAATTCCATGCAAGTGAAGTTAGCCCAAAATTTTGACTACTCTTAGTAAACAAGTGCTATTACAACATACCTCGACAATACACTGGCTAGACTCACAAGAGGAATGTTTCTTTCAGTACTAGGAGCATACTGTAGAGCTTGCCTCAGGCAAGTAACAGCTTGGTCAGCTCGTCCAACAATACGCCAATATAATGCAGCAGCTGTGGCTAGAACCCATGACGTTGCATTCTAAAACATAGCATATTCATAAAAATATGAGGGGAGAGGATTCATCATTTTACATTGTAAAGATTAATTTACGACATGCTTTAGGACAAACATCATTACCCTTCCTGTAAGTTGGGCAATAAAAGTGGGATCATATTGAAAGTTTATTTAAATAAATTTTGTATTGAGGTGTAATTTTATAGACACGTTGGTTATTTGTGGCATATTTTTCTAAATTTTCTAAATTAAACAACACCAAAAAGCATTGAATGCTTGTGTTCACCCAGTTGCCAAGTTCATTAATTCCATTTTTGTTGTCTACAAGGAGAGAGCAACAAAGATATTAATTTGTAAGAGAAAATATTAAATAAATAAAAATATTTTAAAAATTCCACTTCAAAGAGAGGTTAATATTCACTACTTCATTTTAGATGCAGATAATAATTTTAAAATCGTCAAAGAGACAAAGTTCCAGAATCTTTGACCCGAAATCTCTTTTTTGAAACATTAAATTGCAATTTCAACAAGGTTACAATTACGTCTTTTTTAGGCAAAACCCCACTCTGATCCAAAATTGCCCCAGAACGTTATTCTTTAACAGATTTTGAAGTTTTACTGATGGTTCTGAAAAGCCAATAGCGCCTGTGTGACACAAAGACAACTAAAAATTGGCAAAATTCAAAGAATACTCAGAACAATTCATTATAAATTTGAGAATAGATGTGAAACGCACTACAAAACCATGCCTGTTCCAGGGACACAAAAATACACTAATATTTCTACCAAAAAAAGAGTATGCAAGGTAGGATCTTTTAATAAAATAAATAAAATGTGCAAATAATTGTACAGAAATATTCACACGCCCCCCTTATACATGCAAACTTACATGCTAACTACAACACATGATGGGATTTAGAGATTATCCTGGCTGGACAAAGCTGAACAGGCAGCATCTGATCTCAAGTTGCAACCTCCTGGTTATAACATGCACTACACTTATGGGACTACTGGCTCTGCTGTTGATGCGCACAGAAACAAAATAATCAATCAACAAACTACCACAAAATCAGAATTAATTACAGAGAATAACCTACTTCCTGCAGAGCCAGTGCCAGACGCACAGCCATCTCCGAGGGTTTGCTTGAAGGGTCTCCAAGAGCGGCCGCCAACCACAGACGCAGTCCTGATTCAGCAGATGCCTGCAGTCGGTGTCGCAGCCTCACACCAGCCAAGTGATCCAATGTTAAGTGGGATGGTGGGAGCGTTCTATCACACTCAGGTTGCTGACCATTGATGTTAGACCCTGATGGTATTATGGGTAGGGACTCCACTCTGCAATTCACAAAGTGATTTACTTAGTTGCAATCTCTTCAACCACCAACTCAACTTCAAATCTTAATTTCTGCTGTTCTAATCTTTTATTAACTACTGAAATTTTACTGATCTAATACCGCATTTCTATTTATTGGTACTCCTTGCTTCTGAAAATAATTTACTGTTGATTTCTTTTATTTTCTTTATTCTGTTACAAAAATGTCAAAAACGGTTTGAAATGTGAAAATTTATGGAAAATATTATATATTATTATATATTATTTACAATGTCTAAATTTTTATTAAGATATTGTAATTAGTAATATGTATTTTTCCATAATAAAATGTTGTGTGAAAGTTATTAAAAAATTATTTGCATTGATTAAAAATGTCTTATTAAATTGATTTTTTAAACTTCTTTGTTGATGTCCCCACCCAGATGTATTGGGTGCTATGGAGGTTGTGTTCTGTCTAAAAACACCCCTCCTTCTGCATGAGGTTGGTGCATTTCCAAGGTGCAGTCTTCCCGACATTTGCCCGATTCCTTATTGATAAAGTCTGCATTCCCCTATTTTCATAAGTACTGCCACTTGTAATTAGTGTAGTACATGGGCCCAACTTGCTCAGTTATGAGTTAGCGAGAGGGAATCACAACATACCCAAAAGGGCAACTCCACTGTTGCTTGTAAGCTCATACAGTGCCACCCCTGGGGAGTGGCTCCAACTGCACTTCAATGCCACTCGAACAGGAGAAGGAATGGAAGGATGTTTGTGAAAGGTGAAAAGAGTGGGCAGGGCAGCGCTATAATGCAAAGGAACATGTACATGGAACATGTACCGGTAACCCACTGTGAACCCACGAACCAAGGTTATTTCTGCACACATGCTTAAGTGAATCAGCCACCAGGCTAGCAGGTATAATTTATTCTACAACTCATGAAAAATATTCTGATCCAACCAAAATTTTGAGATAGGGCCAGCAAACTTTAAATCTCTAAGTAGAACCTCAGGCTTGATAAATCAGCTCCAATTATTTCCAAATGCTTCTAACCGAGTTGTCATTCGTTTACAAGAAAAAAATACCCGACATGAAATAATTCAAGAACACACAAATTTAGCATGAAGTTTCGAGATGAAATATTAAATATTTGAAATGAGATGTTTTGAAATATGTCTACACTATTTCCTTGATAAATAACATTTAACATGCTAACTGAGAAACAAATTTTTTCTGTCTGGATTGTGAAATAACTCTTCCCAAATGCAGTAAGACAATTGATACCTGTAATTGTGTGAAATGTGTCTGTGATTGTGAATCATGTGAAATTCATTCCGACAAAAAGAGTTTGGCTGCTTCACAAGGGCTAGTTCAACCACTGCGAAGTGTCCTAAACCCTACCCCTATCCCAATTCCTTCTCAATTCTGGCCGCATGGTAGTGACACAGGAGTGTGTCAGAGTGAGGCGCATACGCGGAGAAGCTACCTAGAGGTCCTCTTAACGACTGACTTTGACTAGACTGTATAGTAGTCCAACAAATTAATGGAGGATTACTCCAAATAATAATAAAAATGTTGACAGAATATTACTCCTAGCAAGTGCACAACACCCTCCTAGGGGTTTCGAGACACGTTTCGTTAGTACTAGATGCAACAAAGAAAAAAATTAAAAATAAATAAAAATTCAAGTGCAGAATCTTTTTTACAATCAATTGCACTTTCTTTCTCACACTAGTACCAGAATTATATATTTTCCCCAAAATATCACTGGACTAATGAAGTTTCTGATGTGTTGTTTTCAAAGACTACTGATGCATGAGGATCAACCTTGTACTATTCAGTTACAACACTTCATATTTCTGAGACATTGATAGGAGTTTTGATGTTCCTTTCTCATATATTCTGTACTGCAACGAATATGGATAAAATTAATAAATTGTTCTGCTTGTGCTCAGTAAGTCATGATACTAAGAGGTGTAGCTTTGACTAACTAGCTCCAATTTTCTCTCTCCCACGGATAAAACAAGAAAAACTTAAAAGAATGGCATTTTCAATTTCAAGAATTTTCAAAAATTGCTTGTTGGAAATAATGGGAGAGACAATTAGATTTTTAAGTGTTAGCACAAGTGAGTATGGCATGGTATAGTGGTAAAGTGTACATCAAGTTAATTTCGCATCTGGGCACAGGAAAACAATGCTGGTTTGATACACTTTTGCAGATCCATAGAGTAGAATTATATTGCAGAGCAGAAGAAAGCACGAAATAAAATGAAAGCATAAAAAATAAAGAATTATATTTGTCATCCGTATCAAATGTATTCTAAACCGCAATTAAGGATTCCCACAAGTAGTTTATGAGTAATTTAATTTTACTTATAATAAACAATCAACACATATGTGTATTATTTAATGTAATTCTGTTCACATTTCTTGTAATGGTAAGGATGTATGCACTGTGGTCACTGTATCAAAAGTCTTTCATTGCCATTATCATACCTAGTAGAGGTTTTGATAAATTATTATTGTATTGATTGTAGTGTAGACCATGTCGGTACAAGTTTTTTAATATCTGAAATGAAGCAATTAATTAAATTGAGAAACTACTCTTTCTCGCAAGATTCAACCAGAAAATTGATGATAAAATCTTCCCAATGGATAATCCAATTAACAATGGATTCAAAAAAGTGATTACTGACTATGTGTAGAGTTATCTCTAGGTTTTCTAAGAATATGTTATAATCTAGAGCTCATTTTGTTGGATGCCTGTAGATGCAAAGTAAGATAATTTTGAGCTAAAAAAGGTGTACAATAGTTATTTTGCAAACATTTTCAACTGAATACACATTAATTCTATCAAGTAGATACAATCAATATCATTTCTAATGAAAATACAAGAACCTCCATATGCAGGACTCTCATTTGATTCTCTTTCCATTCAAAAATACCCTGCAAGATAAAAGTTTGAAATTTGGAAAATTAAGATGATTATGAGGTAAACAACATTCTATAAAGCAAAGAATAACTATTTTATTTAAGTTAATACTGAGCCTACTTACATTATTCCTCCACCACTGGAACTCAGCCACATGGCCGTTTCTTGTCCCCAATCAATGCTGTGAATGCGCTCGCATTCTGAAGGGGAAAGGGCATATGTGCCGCTTTTGTCATACACCCTCAACCACGCATTGTCCATAAGGGCCACAGGCACTGCAAAACCACCAAATGATAACAATGGCCATTCATATAGCTCTTCATATTAGCCGCAGTTTAAGAAAACTGACCCTACCATAAAATTCTCCAAGGTTTGAAGACTGCAGTTCATCATCTCCCAAAGCTATTCGTAATCGAAAATGCTATATGTGATAAAACAAATGTATGATCAGTACACAGTTTATTTTCAAAGACTTGTATTACACAATTTATAAAAATATTATTTATTTATCAGGTTGTATGCAAATACATATCATGCACAAAAGATAGCATTATGCTGCTGAGGCAAAGCCTGTGAGCAAACCTGTTTAATTATGGAATTATCCCTATTATTTCCTTTCGTTTTGGGTAACTTCTTTTTTTATGTTGAGAAAACTAAGTACTTAATACCATCGTAATAATGAAATCTTTTATTATTTAAAGTATTCTCACATTTACAATAATGGCAAAAGAAATTCAAGAGATCACTTCAATTACAATCCAAAAAACTAGTTTGTATTTGAAATTCCATTTTACTTTTTGATGTTATTGATTATAATTTAATATTTCCTCCCCTATTTTTCAAAATTGATTTAATATTTGCTACCTGCATAATGAAATTTTGCTGATTATAAATGAATTTATTTGTTCCTGATCATGATGCTTGCAAGTTGAACTACTATGGATCCCGCTTGCAAGGAATGGAAGAACCTTACTAAAAGCACAAACACTTTTTGATGGATGAATGAAACATTTCATTTTAATTTAATTTAAAATTTACATTGTCTCTATATTATTTAATAGCTTATTACTTCCGCTGATAAAAGTTGCAGTTACTATTTTGATGAAATATGATGCACATGCTTTCAATAAATATTATAAACTGCCAATGAAGCAAATTAATCTTAAAATGATATATCACTACATGATTTGAGTCTTCCAGAAGAAGGGTATCAAAGAAAATGAGTACATAATACAACATATCAACATCAAGAATAAATTATCGCACAAACTATTTTATTACAATTTTTAAATTCATTATTGAAAAGATTATATGAGCTCTTTAAACTTTAAATTAAAAATTAATATGCCAATTACTGAAAACATCATTTATCTTACAGTCCATTAAAATACACAGTGAATGTTTATCTGTTTTAAGAATCAGACAAAAAAATATTTTCTATTGAAGTCTGAGCTTAAAAAGTAAGCATGTAAAAGATCCTCAAGCCTAAATGACGCCTCTGAGCTACATTCAAATCGCCTGTTTCTCGCCCAAGAAATACCTCCTTTCTCTGCTAGTTGATGAAAGGAGCGTAGCAAAATTTGCGTGGTCAGACGGAAGAGCGGGCCTGATGGCCTGAGTCTCGCCACGTAAAATAAGGCAAATTCAATTCAATTCGATCTAATTAACTGTTTACATTACATATGGTAGTTACATTATAAGTACTACAAAATTAAGCTACATAAAATTGACTGTGATATATTCTGTAAGTGAACAGTAATAAATAGAGTTAAAATTGTCAAGTATCTAGCTATAAATATTGACTGTATCTTGAATGGAATTACCTTATTGAGCAAATAGTAAAAAAATTAAGTGATCTTTTATGCGTTCTACAAGTTAAGCCTTTTTCTGAATACTATGCTTTATTCAGGTTGTGAGGAACCTATGGTATTATAGCATGGGATAGAGCATATGCATATAAGGGATAGAGCATAATGAACATATAAGGAAAGAAAAATTCATATCATTACAACTCTTTAACTAGTTGGAAAGTCTTTGCAGTGTTATTTGGAGTATTTATAATCCATTTTCATAACATTTTCTTGTGTGTAGGTTTACATACATCACAGTTTTTTAATTTGGTGCTCAGTTCATTTAAAACTTTACGGCTAATAAATGTATGACTTCTTGCGATTTCCTTACTTATTCTCAATATTTCTATATTCTTTATTCTCTGTGATAATTCAGATTTTCACATAGGCTTTATGCTTCTGCGGAATAATGTATTCGCTATTTGAACTTATTATTACAACATGTTAATAAATTAAAATTGAAATTAAATGAACTGAATGATATTTTTTAATTATGAATATTTTTTTGCATGTTTTTTAACTATAATCAGAATAAAACATAATTTTACAAGGAATTCAGCGTGCTCCATAAGATCAGATTCACAAAGCTCCTGACTTCTTGTAATCACAGACACGAATAATGTCAGAAAATGAAAATTACATAACCCTACTACCTTAATCCTGTTGCTATCAAACATTCATGTTTTCATAATGTGAGCTGAAATTATGAGTACAGAGTATTTTGTGGCCTCTTCTATGAAGTATTTATAATATCAACACGTTTGACAGTATTAAGATTATTTTATTCCCCTTGATTTTCCATGAGCAGAGTCATGTTTTTGATTTGGTGAATTAAATTTCTCACATTTATTATAATTATAAAGATTTGCAATTTTAAAAAAGTTCTTAAACTATTCATCATTCCAGAAATTTTTTAAATTTTGAATTTACTGAGATTGTCACCTGAGAAGTGGCTGCAACTGTCCACAAATCAACGTGATTTTCAATGAACTAATAAATAAATTTTACAAAGTACAAACTACAAATGTCTTTAATTCCAAAAAGAAAGCAGTCTTAATAGTTTCAGGTGTTTCTTCACAAATCAATTCTCAAATTGGCCCAACCTCATATGGAAGGTTTAGGAAAATATCCATATGCTTTACAGATGAATATTATAAAGACAATCAGTACAGTTTGAATTAAAGCGCGAACAAAGTAAAATATGCAAAAGAAATAACATGCAATACTTCAAGACTGAATGTCAGTAAGTGATGTCATCTTAAAGGAAGAACAGACTGAATTAATTTGAAAAAAATCATTGGGTGAAATATATGGTAAAGACATAACTACTATAAAACATTTGCAGCATGATGAGAGTAGGGAAAAAAACCATTTTTTTCTTCTTATTGTTTTTATTGATTCAGAAGTTTTGTCATTATATTGATTTAATTTACCACCAAATAAAAAACCTCATGAAAATTGCCCAAATGTATATCAGTAACCCCAATTAATATTTGATCTATTGATCCAAACCAATATTATGATACTGATGGTAATTTATTTTTTTCTTTCTTCTTCTTAATCTTTCAATATTAACAATTTTCCATGGGGTTCAGAAAACCTTAGTAGTTTAAGAGTTAATATTGATTGTGATAAACATGAGCAAGTCCAATGCTGAGTAAATTTCAAAAAAAGTACATATATAAAAAAATGAAATTCTTTAATTTTGAAAGCACAAATATAATTTCAAATGCACAATGCCCCAACTTACTTTGGGTAACGAACTAGGGTCGCCCATTCTTTCCAGTTCCGTCTCATCCGGCTGATCCAGGACATCTTCCCCTGCGCACTGGCTGTTGCCCGGCCCCAGAAGCCGAGCCACTGTGGCAGCGTCCAACGTCATCAGCCCACCTGTCAGGCAGTCAGCTGTCCCATCCAGCCTCTTAAGAAGCAGATTTTTTTGACAGACATTCAGAAGAACAGAAGGAAAAAAAAAAAAGAAATTAAGTGCAAGCTGAAGCTTCTTCAGAGATACAGAAAATTGGTTTTTCCAGAAGGTTATTACGGGCTGAACTGCAGAACAGAATTTATGTTTGCTCATTAAAAATTGTCTTAAACAACCACTCATGGTTCTGGTGGGTGTTAGAAGAGGTGGCCATTTAACCCAGTTCATTTAATTTACAGGAAGGGAATATGGCGTCTAATTCTGCTAACACACTCTTGATTCATCATTAATTCTTGTTCTGGACAAACTCACCTTCCCTAACTTGAACTCCACTTGTCCGCAGTCTGTTTCTTTGCATGTTCCCCCATATATACCCGAAACATTTTCAGCATTCTCTCTCACATTCTTCCAATATATTTCCCGCAACACCTTTCCCATACATTTCTGAGGTGTACTGCAAATGTTTCTCCACAACTTCCTTCATGATGTAGATTCTTCATGGTGTTTCATAAGGTTCAGAAGTAGGTTTTTTGAAATTGAAAAGCTAGGCCACGAAAAGAAATGAGCAAAAATGTTGGGGTTTCTGCTGGATTTTAAAATTTAAGTGCCCTTTAAAAATTGCCTAAGATTCATGAAAAACTAGAATATTTCATATAATATTAATATGAAATACTTGAAGAATTTGGGATGATAGTTATGTTTCATGAAAAGTTCAAAAGGGTATTATGATTTTCTTATCTCATTAACAGAGTGTAAGAAATCAAGTTCACTGACTGAGAGCTCCGGTTATCTTCAGCTGACTTGAGAGTTGTGAGAAAAGTATAGTTCAAGAATTGCTTACATCATTGGCCAAATTTCTCAATGAAGTCACAGAAGTTAAGCAACATGACACCCCATGGATTCCTGGATGGGTGACTGGTCTGGGAAACTTTGTTACCAATGGCGCCGAGCCACTATCCGAAGGGATCAAAGGCAATGTCTATGTCTATGACGTTACGTGAGAAAAGATAAATTCAATAGAGGATATTATATACATATACATATATTATTTTTTTTAATATTGTTGCGCCTTTTTGGTGAGGAGAAGAAGAAGAAAAAGGAGAAGAAGAGAAGAAGAAAAAGAAGAAGAAAAAGGAGAAGAAGAGAAGAAGAAAAAGGAGAAGAAGAGAAGAAGAAAAGAAGAAGAAGAAGAAAAGAAGAAGAAAAGGAGGGAAAACAAACAAACTGTTTTAACAAATCAACAGAGATGCGTTGTATCTTTGAGTCAATGAGGCAAGTACAAGAAAGACCTCTGCCCTTAAGACCTCCCCCTGCGTATGGGGGGGAAAAATGTTCCTTTTGATTCGACTACATGCTGCCTCCGGCCACGGTGAAGCGTCAAAGGAGGTGCATATAGTACATCACTCCGTAAACCACTTTTTTAGAATCAAGGTCTCACAAAATACGGATAATGACTAGAGCAAGTTCTAGAGGAAGAAATTTACTGCATATCGGCACAAGATTTATCCACTTTTTCAGTATCAGGATAACACAATATGAGTTTTTCTGCTGAAATATCGCCAATTTTTGCAACAACATTCCAATACTTTCCTTTTACAAAGCAGTACATTAGGAAGAAAAAATTCTGTATTCACTTCTGGCATCTCTTCATCATATAAATTTAACAACCAATAGCATGGAACCTTAATACTCAAATAAGAATGAAAAAATAAGAAAATCAAGTTATTGAAGGTATCGACTCAAAGAGATTTAACTTATCAACAGGAATCACAGGCAGTCGCTCCACGAAAGCAAATGCATACTGGCAAAAGCAACAATCCAACTGATGATTCTTATTTTATTCTTCACAGTTAATCAAATGAGAGGCATTTTAATGCTCACTATTTTACTTGTAAACAATGTAGGGCCGAGCATTGTCAGCATTTAGATGTGCACTTGTCGGGCAGAACTGGTACATACACAAAAATGAAAATTCCTCACAAGACCTCGGAATAAATACACTATAAATAACGTTATGTGAAAGAGAGTCATTGTTCTGCAATGTCTATGAGCTAGGCGGAGGACAATCACAAGCAGATCCATATCTTATACACACTTATGGTGAACAGGCAATAGTATTTTGATTTTTGTTTTGTTGGATAGTAATGATTGAAAGTAACACAACAGCACGTTTAATGTGCATTTGACAATATTATGTAGAATGTGTTTTGCTAATTGCGTGAAGGTCAAGAAAAATAGAAAGAAAAGATTTACAATGTTAAGTTTCCGGTAGTGTGACTTCCACATAGCAACACAGTTTACAACCCCAGTGAAAAAGCTTGTGGCACCTGGTACTACTGCACAAAATAAAGTGCCAAACGATTATGAAAACTGTATCTGTATTGGCCTCGGAGGGTTACGACAACTTTCAGATGTCGAAGAGAGTAGCACAAACTCCGGCAACAATTGGAAAATCTTCATTTTTACATACACTTATGTAAAGAAAAGATGATTAATTACATCCCTGTTAAGGTGTTTTAGAGCTGCAAAGGTCAGAAGACAATCCACTGCCCACAAGGCCCTTCCAGCCAAAAGTGGTACAGCACATGACTGGCTGGATAAATAAATGGACCTTTTGCTCAAAAATATAATATTGTAAGATAATAAACATCTCTGAATGAATGAAACAAATCACCTTGTGATTTTTACTGAACAGAAATTGAAAGTTTTTTTCCACATTATGAAATGGTCATAAAGCTTCATTATTTTACTGCCTTAGGATTGGCTTTAGTAGGGTTGCACCCATTTTTCTAAAATAAAAGTCCTGAATGAACATTTTTCTGAATGTATTTACTTTCCGAAACCAACTTCCCGAATCTACAATAATGGAAATTGTGTAATAATTTTTGGAACACAATAGAATCCGATGAAAAGCACTCAAAGTTGGTTTCTCGATGGGACATTGAAAGTGAATCCAATGATTTTCATTTAATTGTTCACAATTTTGGGACGACCAGATGGAAGTCTCTATAGCTGTCCCTGTAGTCTGTCTATCTGGTAAATACGAAACTTCATATACAAAGGTTCTGAAAGTAATGAATAAAACCCACACTCTAAGAATGAATATAATACACCCACACAACACGTTATGTGAGACTTTGAGAAAGGTAAAAAATATAGTTTTCATACAACACTTCCTGATAGCACTATTATGGTAGTGTTTCTTTCATTTGGGTTAATCCATATATCAACCTGAAGGGTTGACCCGAAGGGCAACAGAAAGCTTTCAATGATTATGTAAACAGATATGTTAAAGAGTACATACATATGTTACTTGCACTTGCATTTGCATTTGTGTTACCGCAGCATGTAAAAGAAGTGTTTGATGAACTTAGGGAAGTTACACCTGACAGTATTCTAACTGTTTTTGATTATTTCTTTGTAAATTACATATCAGGACACATAGCCAGAGGTCAAAATGAGCTCTGATGAGATTTAAAAAACAAATTTAGAATCAATATAAGGTCACAGTAAAAATTTTTCACTAAACCCATAATATAAGGTCTGACATTACAGGTTTCCAATTATACTTGGGAAACACCATCCTTCATTTTACACTACTTAAATAGAAATTTAAAAAAAAGTTGAATACTAAAATCATTTTAGACAAAATCTCACTGGGAAGAAAAGTGAAGACATTACGAAGAAAAACTTGGTTAACTGAGCAGAATATGATTAGAAACATAGTATCTGCTTACAAAAGATATCGAGAAGAAAATCGTCCAATTCAATATTTGAAAGATTAGGTTACAAATGTTTTTGTACAATTTCTTCCCTTCATATTCGATATGTACATGCATATAAAATAAAATGCAGGTTTATTCTTATTATTTCATTTTTAATTCAGAATTATTAAGTTATGGAAATTTTGGCTATAAAATATGGGACTTTGCAAAAATAATCTGAAATCCTTTGAGTATAAATGGTGAGACTTGCACTCTGCAACATAGGACTCTGAAGTACAATGGTACAAACAAATTAATACAGTTGTTTTAAGATATTGAAAGTGGATAAATGCATTTATGAGCGACCAATGTAGGCAAAGAAATAGTATATAAAAATGACACTACCTTTAAACAGAGTTGAGACCTGTCCAATAGGATAATTTTTAAAAGTAATCACTCTAATTGAACACTTGTGACTTTCTTTCTTTCTTTCCATACATAATTCATTAAATAAAAGTCAAAAGTTCACTTTGTCTGAATTAAAATCCTTAACTTACAACTCTATGGCACCACACCTTGAGATTCTCAGTTAAAAAAAAAAAAAAAAAACCCTGCCCTTACCGGAATTCTGACCAGGGGAAAAGCACTGCATAGTGTGACACTGCTGGCCATCCACACTGCACACAACTGTGTCTCCTTCCCTCATCCCCTCCAGGCTGCTCAGGAGATCCATGGGTTTCCCTGTCCCACACATCTCCTGCACATAAAAGCAATTCCCTTCACAAAAGCAACACAGCTACCCTCTTTTAAAAAATATGTTTCCTTTCTTTTCTTTTGTTCATAACATTTTCAGCAGAACAGTGAAAGGAAATTATACCTCTGATGATGGTTCATCAGTTAGTGGAATGTTGGAGAATTGTTCTCGGCATGCAGCTGCCCGCAGTAAATTGCGAGCCTGCCCCCCGAGATAGTTGGGCTGGATTTCCAGCACCTTTTTCAGGTGATGGATTGCACCTGAATGATTGCTTTGGGCTTCTAACACCAATCCCAACAGAAAGTGGGAAATGACCTGTAAACACACATGAATCTAAACTATGAGCTACAACAACACATTGTTTCTTACATAATTTCAAAATGTTCATAAGTTCAGAGATTTCAACGAAAATGAGACCTGAGTCATTCTCTTAAGCATCCTTTACACTATTCAAGGACAATGTTTAGTGCAAATATTTGAACCCATTTTTGAGAAAAAATTTAAAATGTTGTTGAGACATGTAAATTATTCCCCCACATCAAAACATTTGTTTCAAATTGAGGGGCGCTTGAGTTAATTTAAACTGATGAAATAACATCAATTTCGGAGAAGATCGGCCAAACGGTTTGGTAGCTTTGACCTACGATGAACCGACGGACATTTTGCCATCAATTGATTTTTCCTATCAAGGATCCTCAAAACATGAATTCTCACAACACAACGTGTTAGCGGCGAGATCCTGCGCCGACCTACCGTCGGCCAGAGGGGTTTTCCCTAAGCAGGTATCTCCCAAGAGCGGAGCATCGCCCCAGTCGAGACAAGCTCTAGGCTCCCGACCGGTCTCCCGGCATGTGTGGTAGCGTCGACATACATAGAGATTAATGTGTCAAGTCAATTAATGGGTCCGGCAATTTTGTGTACAGGTTGGTTACCTGGCGGTCGTCGACGGCGAGGGCGTGCAGCGCGGCGCGGCGCGCGGCCGGCAGCTGGCCCGCGCGCAGCAGCAGCGCGCCCAGCGACACGAGCGGCACGTCGGCCAGGCGCGCGGGCGCCGCCGCTACCGCCACGCGCAGGCAGTCGAGCGCGTGGCGCAGGTTGCCCCGCACGCGCCAGTACAGCGCCGCCAGCGAGTGCAGCAGCCAGCGCGGACCCACGTCCTGCACAGACCGCGCACAACACGTAAGTCCCTTCACACACCGGCAGCTGCGAATCTGTCATCCAATCGGGAGCTCCGTCACTATAGTGACGTTAAAGTTGACTGTCATTCAATCAACCAACTGTCATCCAGTCAACTGATCTTGACACACGGGAGCTGCAACGTCCCTATAGTGAAGTTAACGTTCACAGTCATACAATCAGCTGTCGTCCAGTCAACTGATCTTGACACTTGGGCAGCTGCGACGCTGACATACAATCGGGAGCTTCAACGTCACTACTAGAGGCGTTCAAGCTCCCGAGAGAATGACAGCGTCACAGCTGATCAAGTGTCAACAGACTTAAATGTTTTAAACAGAGTAAAGGCACATTCTGCAAGCAGACAGTGATGCACTAAGGGATGGGGTTCACGGGGCTTCTGCTCTTCCCCCCACAAAGCCCACAAGCAAAAATTGATAAAGTCTCAGGGCGGTAGAATATTATCACTTTTTGCCAAGGTCTATTACTATTATTTTCAACTTATAACAGTTATGTGTTTACTAATTAGGTCGATGATTGTCCAAATTTAATAGAAAAACAATTAATAATAAAATTTATTTCAATTAAGGTAATTGCGCCCTTTATTTTAATAATCCTTTAATATTTAAAGAATCTGAAAAATTACTACTATGTCATACATTTATCGTCAAATTAAGTACAAATTTTCAAGGGGAGTCACCTCTTCAATACTGACACCCCGGACGAACAGCCCCTCCTGCGCCCACCGAGGTATTGAGAAATTCCGTGAAACGAAATCCTTTCATTGCGTCAGAACGTCACCATCCAAACGCCGGTGTGTGTGTTGGGTCGCCTCCCGACCAGGGGCAGATGTACAACTGATTTACGTTTCTCACATGTTCATTGGTACAAAGTAATCATCTGCAACCACCCTACAAGTTCTAGAAGTTTGTAACATTTATTCTGACACTCAAATAGATTTTTACTTGTTTTCTACAGTAACAAAAATCAATACCTCAAAATCAATATCATTTTATTCAATATATCAAGTGTTAAAGCTAACAAGCAACAAATCAAAATAAACTTTACATTCAGCATATACATGATTTTTTTTAAAAATTACAAGTTGGCTAAACACTTCCCTACATCACCTCCATAGGCATACCATAGGTAGTTGGGCCACTCCTTATAAATAATGTACATAAATTTCATTTCAATTCAGAAAATTATTAAATTCAACTTGAGCTTTGATTTTATAATCATATTTATTGGGAATCAACCAATGAAGCAAAATGTTAAAATTATTTTCACCTTTAACTAACAAGCAAATTGGAGAAAAATTTAAAACTAGTAGAGCTACGAAATCACATTCTTTCTCGCATCATTTCTAACTGCTCCGCTACATTCTACTATAACATAATCTTGCCAAAATGTTTTCAACCAGACAATTTATTTCCGGTTCAAACCCGAACTCTGCGTTAACCTGCTGACACCCATACCACTACACCATAAAAGTACCACGTGATCGCATGGACAAGTAATAATATTCGGAACCATTAGTGATATCTCGGTAAAAGAAAAACTAAGTTGGTAACATGGTAGTATCTGTATATTTAAATTTTATGATAGAACATGTATTTAGTTAAATTAGTTCATACAGATGCACAAAGAAACAAATGATTTGCCTGGACATACGTTTAGAAATCAAATAAAAGAGTTGAAAAAAGGTTTAAACATTCCACATTCGAAAATCACATGCAGACACTTTCAGTTTATTCATCTGCATCGAGTAGAAGTGCTTCAAATGATTTTCAATGAAGTTTTGCTAATTCTCAATAGTTTTCTGCAACTACACTTTCATGAGAAGTAAGTAACAAATTAAAATCCCATTGGAACTGGCGACCTTTTGGTTCACAGCGCTGAATCTGTACACCTCATTTAACCACATCAATCATCCACGGCAGACACCAGCTCAACACTTCCACAATAGTCTTAAAGCAAAAATTAATTCAGTTTTAGCATTAGACATCCAAAAAATTGAGATAATATCAAAAAATGTTCTTTGGTAAATGAAAGAAGGCTATTGGGAAGAGGCCTAACTGAAAAGCTAGTCCAGACTAAAGAGATCAGAAAACTAGTGCGAGAATGTCTGTCACATTCTACAGAACCACAATTCTTTTTGTAACAATGTAATTGTTACATATGAGGAGAAAATTAAATGAAAAAGTCATGTGGGTTTTGAGAATTTTCTTTTAGAAATTGCATAAATTTCAGATACTAAGTATGCAAAATCAACTTGTTTTTTCAAAAAATTGTACATGACCTTTTTTAAAGAACTGATTTTTTACAACAGATTTTGTTTAAAGCAAAAATTGCTATCTCCAATTTTGTAGTTTTAAAATGGTAACTTTTTGTAATTTTCGAAAAAATGGCTAGGCGAGAAAATCCAATTTGGTGAAAATGGTTCTAGCCCCATTCTCTTTACCAGCCTTTATTACATAAGAGGGGGGGGGGGAATAGTTTGTTTCAACAAAATATTTTTTTAGTAATTAATAATCTTTAGCACTTGTTGAAAACTGTTTGAAAAACAGTTTCAATTTTTCTTTGTTCAATTGCATTTTTTTATTGAACTTGTAGCATGCTAGGCATGCAAAGCTGCCTGCTTTTATTAGGGGCTGCCCAAAATGAAATTATTCTATGTAGTATATACATGTAGATCGCTACATACAGCTACACATGTGTAGTTTGTCTTTTTTTAAAAACCATCTGAAAAAGTATACAGAAAAGACTCTTAAGGGGGACATCAGGGAGAAAGCATCATCAGGGAGAAAGCATCAGGGAGTATTATATAAGGGGAAACTTGTATGTCACTATCTACAAAAAGGTAAATGCAAAAATTGACAGCTCTGCACTGTGGTCAGATTGAATACTTCTTAATCATGTGGGTTTTGAGAATTTTCTTTTAGAAATTGCATAAATTTCAGACAGTAAGTATGCAAAATGGCAGCAGGCACAGGTGCATGCACATACAGTTTATGGACCCAAGAGATAATAAATAATAACCCCCATCATTTCACATATTCCACTGTTTGAGCACCATTTAGAAAAATAACAGAATTTGAATAGGAGAAGAATCAGTTGGGAATTGCATTAAAAAAAAAACTTCCTTTTTCTTGTATTGTACTCATAAAATATATTCTGAAAACTCTTACATGGTCATATAGCAGTGCAATATAGGTACAAAAGCAGCATCTGGTATTGAAAACAAATTACATTACTCTCTTTTTAGATTTTGACATACAAATCTATGAATCTATATTTTTTATCTCCACCAACTTTACAATATAAAACATAAATCCATTTTATATACAGTACAATTGGCATGCACGGTTTTAGATCAATATAATGAAATGACATGCATATTGGATCAGATGTGGTTTGCCTTTTAAAGTTATTTATTTATGATTGTGAAATAACTAATGCATCATATAAACTACTGAAATAGATTGTCACAAAGTACAAACATTTGATCTCCCCTGGACACGAACCCAGGATCGCCATTATACAAACTTCTCTCAACTGAGCTATGGAATTAATCACAACGTTCATGACACTTTACTTGCAAAGGAAATACAAGTTACCTACTTATTTGCCCTTCATGATAATCCTTCTTCAATAGTTAAAAAATGGTCTTTTCATTAGAACTAACATATACTTAAAAATTGTATGGATTCCATAACTGTGACACATGCGAATTTTGTTAAACCTGATTAACAGGTGATTTTGAAAACTATATTAATTGAATTACATACATAATCCAATTTCCTATCTTAAAGAAAGAAGACGGGTCATCTTGTGAACATTTTAGAGGAATAAGTCTTTTAAATGTCACTTACAAGATCTATTCAAAAACAATCACATCCAGAGTACATAATACTGCAGAGACAATGTTATTGAAAGAACAAAATGTATTCAGGAAGGGCAGGTCTTGCTCTCATAATATCTTCATTGTCAAACAGATCATTGAGAAATAGAGAATTTAATAAAAGAACATACATGCTCTTCATAGATTACTCCAAAGCTTTTGGCATAGTTAACAGAAATACACCATTTAATGTATTGCATTGTAAAGGCCTCCCACTACAGCTGATTTCAGTTATTAGGAACATCTATAGTAACTCAGAAATTTGTATCAAGGGTGAAGAGAATATGAAAGAGATAATAAGCCAAGGAGTAAGACAAGGATGTAGTCTATTCCCAATTATTTTTAATTTATATTTAGAGGAAGCATTAAATATGTGGATATCCAGACTAAAATCATATAGACGTACATAGGACAAGAAAGAAACCTAATGACGATATTACTCGTAATGACCAACTTATAATAACAAACGATGAATATAGCCTCCAGCAAGCACTGTTTGAATTACAAAAGGTAAGTGAAATGTACAATCACTGCATATCCTCTCCAAGAAAAAAAGTCATGGCCTTTGAAGGTATGGGACCGATTAGATCCAAATTCGTTGTACATAATTCACTAATAGAGCAAGTTTCAAGTTTCCATTTTTTGTGATACAAAAAGTCATACAGAGGGGAAATAGATATACAGGGTAAAATTGAAAGACTAAGTCGTCCATGATTAAATTCTATAAGGTGATAAGTATCCCTACATGTTTATATGGAAGTGAAAATTGGACAATGACCAAAAAACATAGCACAAGAATACAAAGTGCTGAAAAGAGATTTCCGAGATCCGTAAGTGGTTATAAGCTGATGGGCAAGAAAAGGAATTTAGAAATTCGTAAACAACTTGGGGTATTTAATCTTCAAGAGAAAATCAACTACCAAAATTCTTGTACCCAGCACATAGAAAGGATGCAAGACAACTGCCTGCCGAAAAGAATTCTACAATACTACCCACAAGGACGAAGAAATCCTGGCTGCCTGAAGAAGAGATGGGGTGACCAGATGGGAACGGAGGCGTTGCCTATATACCTGAAAGAGAAAGAGAAGAAGAAGACATAATTGATTTTTTTGGCAATATTGTTAAAAATATTAAAAGTGCACAAGCATTGCTTTCACTAAATTATAGTTACAGTCATAGAATCTCATACATTTACATATCCAGTATCATGTCATTCGGAACACACTGTCCTTTATTTTTATTCTCTTACAGATCAGTAGTTTAGTTTCAAAAAGCTACATATTCCAATACAAATTTTGAATATAACATGGAAGTTTACAACATGTTCTTTCTTCTAATACCTAACATTTTTATCCAAAACATACAATTGTAGGGTAATAAACAGGTCAGATTTGAAAGATTAAATTCAAGAAGGACTACAAAGAGTTATACATTTGTTGTGAACAGATAGTTGTTGTATAAAAGAGAAACTATTAAGCTTTGAATACAACTGCTGAATACTGAATAACTCTGCCTGTCCATTTATAAATCAGTGGTATTTCTCAAAACTGACTTACTCAAGGATATTTTCATGCAATACAGATTTCTTCTTTGACTTCTCCAGCTGACCAGATTCTATTCTTCAGGTCACTGAACAGATTCACTTAAGGCACCTGTAATGAAAACATTTGTTTGAAAAATCTAATGCAGGAACAACACACCCAAATTTCACAAGCATCATCATTATATTGCAAATGTATTACATTATTGTGCATTGCTTTCATGAAACCATGACTTATAAAGCTTTTATGCTGTCAGAAACATGTGGAACACATTAAATGGCACAATACTACATGTAAATGAATAGTTATGGATTTAACACAATACACATAATTACAATAAACAAAGTGTTTTCAACTTGGCTTTATAGCTGACAAGTGCTTTTTTTTATTCATTGTCTCATCTTTTATGCAACACAATACAACTGAGTAATCCACTGTTAAGTTATTTATAGTTTGTCTGGTAACGTCGCTGTCAGTCGATGCCTTTAATCCCATCAGACATGGTGTTCAGCGCCATTAGTAACAGGCGTCACCCATCTGGAAATGTATAGTGTCTCAAATGCTCAATTTCCATGACTTCAGAGAGCATAACTAAGCAATTCAGCTAACAACACTGACAACCATTACATTATGAATTCCATGTTATTATTTTATGAATTCGATAAAACAATAACATGTTGTAGGGAGTAAATTATTTCCCATACTAACTCATTATTATTACTCAAAATATTTTACTCACCTTCAGAGGGGAAAAGGAAGAAACTTTTTTCTTTATCTTGCTGAACAGTATTGGTGTATTCTGGAGCCCAAAATTTCGCCATCATCATCTACAACACTTGAAAACAACGTACACCATACAACGCTGCAAACCAAATGGCACAATAAACACACGAGTTGTCCTAGGCTACACCCTCTTCACCGGAAAGTTGGATCCATGGTTGAAATCAACGATAAAAAGACTTGTAAGCTCACACTGCTGCCTGTCAAAAATCACCGAAGTAGCGCTTGAAATTACGCATGTAGCTTTAAATAAAAGCTACCACATGGAAATGATGTTGGCACATCTTATAGCGACTAGTCTAGTCTCTACTTTTCACCAGCGAGAGCTTCCCCTCCTATTACACATTCCTGCATAGTGTCGTCAAGTCTCGGTTTGAACTTAGGCGGGACAACAGGAGAAACCAAAGCACACATTATTGGCAAAACATATTTTGTTTCATTAACATACTCTTCTCAAGAACTATTAATATTTTTTGAAATTTTACTTTTGTATTCACTCCTCTAGGCATCTCTCCCAGTAAGGGGACTGCCCCAACTGGGAAAAGTTAATCTCCTAACATGTGTTGTAGAGTAATTCATGTAACTGTTAGCATGCACGCATAAGGGGAGAGAAGGATATGAAGGCGAGGAAGAAAAGATTGCACTTGGTGTCGCTATGTGACCCTCAGACCTCCCAGTCATTGACATTGGCACAGTAATGTAGTCGTAGTTACTGAGCCATCTTAGCTGATAATATCAAACAATAGAGGAGTACCTTGTTGATGGCTGATAGAATCCTCTGCCCTATCTCTGCCTCCACAGCCTGCCCCTGGACCCCATACTTGAGTAACTCTGGAAGCAGCTGTAGTTCTGGTGCAGGTTCTGGGTGCTGAGGCACCAGCCTGGGGAACAGCCTCTGCACCAGGGGTTCATGGGACACCTCTGCTGCAGAGCAAGTGGGCGGGTACCAGGGCAAAGCATGTTCTTCCCCAGAGCCCAGTCCAATCAATGGTCCCAAGTAGAGGTGGGCCCTAGAAACAGTCAAAGAACCTACTGCACAACAGAAGGAAGCAGGAAAATTTTTCACTGATTTCCAATTGACTATATTGATAATATAGGCAGGATATGAAGGCATAAAGAGCAAATTGAGTATTCAATTCTCATCCATTTCAACAGAGACAGATCAAGAGTCTTCAGGGACATTGCCTCTGCATAAAAGTGGGAAGTGCAACCACCATAGCATGTATCATATATACCACTGCAGAGGAGCTTGGCCGTATTTTTATCATCCTCCCATTTCAATTCAATTTCTTCATCGAAGGGATGTGTCCTAAATGCCAGTGCGACATACTTCAGTGTTCAATTTCGGGGATATCAAATTATTATTTGGTTATTATGAATCCTCCAAAGTGAACAATAGTATTTGGAACTTGAGATGAAATTTCTGTATTTGCCACTTCTATTTTTTGAAGTTACAAATTTGAAAAATATATGTCAAAAACTTTAAAAGAACAGATGTCACTCAAGTTCTGCCAAAGATTGGAGACTTACAAAACTTAACCTTAAGTAATTTAAAATACACCTAGTATATTGTCTATAATGAGAAATGCAGAATTTCAAGGACATAAAATTAGATATATTTTCCTCAATTCCACAGCTTCATCAACAATTTATGAGAAACTTACTCAAAACCTCGATCTTCGGGAGCAAGAAACACTGAGGACAGGTCCTGGATGACAGGAAACTGGCTCTTGTATGCCGTGCACTCTTCCTGTGAAGGCCACGATTGAGCCTCTGGGGGAGTCACCAACGCCTCATCCACCGCCGCCTCCTCTTTCACTCCTCCATCCCCCACCTGCCTCCCATCCTCCATGCTCACGGGCTCCTCCCCCTCACTTGCTGCACTCTGGCTGGGCTCAAGCACAGACTGCTCCTGCACCAATGGATTGTGGCGAAGCATCTGCTCACTTATCTTCTTGGCCTTCAACAAAAAATTCCAACAAGAGAGTAACATAGGGCTTACAAAGAAAAAAAACTTGTCCATACAACAAATGATTGGTCATTATCTATTCTTTTACAGGCAATAGACAATTTTTGAATTTAAAAATTATATTAACATGGGAATAGTTTTAAAAACATTTACTTAAAGGCATACAGCAAAGTGTACTCAATGAGTAGCAGAGGTCACTGTAGTCGATAACATGAACTAAACTGACTTCTTTTGAGTTTCAATACACCAGTTAGACCTAAGATTCTCTTTTAGCTTAACATTATATTCCTTGCACTCTTGGATGGAGTCAAATTGCATTTCAGTAATTTCTTTTCTGGTTACAAAATTTATGTTTGCTTCTTAGGAAGAATAATATCTAAGGAAAGTAACAATAAGATTTTTATCCCTAGTGCCAAGTTATTAGCTAAATGAATATTTTTATGTTCAAAAATGTTACTTTTTCTTTGCTAGTCTCAATAAAATGTATTTTAATCATCGTTCATTTCCAGACATAGAACGTTACAAGAAAATGTGTTGATTTACAAATTCTTAAAAATTTTGATTTATAACAAAATTAGTTTTAATAATTATCATCAATCTGGTGAATCACTTTGTATCGCCTTGTGTAAATGCCCGAAACAGAGAATAAGAAACTCATAGCATTTCACCAAAGAATTTTTAAGTGCATTGGAACATTAAAAAACACATGATTTTCTAAATGGAGAATCCTACAAGAAACACGCAAAGAATTGAGCTAATCAATTAGTTTTGTCAAGCAGAATCAAAAGAGTTATTGATTTCCTCTCATGGTGCCTGTAGAATGTCAGCATTGGAGATAGCAGCAAGTTTCCAAATTTCAGAAGTTTCTGCTTTGAAAATATATTTCATTACCTTTCTTTTCTGTGGTCAGTTATAGAATGCATACATACTTCTATCAATGTAACTTTTTCCCATTTTCATCTCTAGCAAAAAAGCAGATTCAAAAGATGTCAATGTTCTTTTTCTTAATTGTTGACAAACTCTCATAGAAAATCAAATTTACTGTTGTCCAGCTAGCACTTACTTCCTGTGAATCACTCTTTTTGAGTAATAAAAACATGGATTTCATTTCTGACTTGCTCATGCAAAGTTTCTTGGGGTAGTGAAATGCTGGTGTGTCATTCTGAGCTTTCGTACTTTTGCCTGTGCTGAAAACTAAAGTTTCATAGCTGGTAACAACTCTGTCTAAGAAACAGTGTTCATCATGCACATGAAAGACAAGTTCTTGAATTCACTTGATTTACCTTCTCATCATCCGTCAAAACCCTCAGCACCAACTTTTCACACACTTTCCACATAGCCAAACTTTCCATTAAAATTTAATGAACGACACTTTTTGGTAAGTTTGCCTTCAGTGATCATTAGAACACTCAATAAACAGTCTAGAACAGTTTTTCACTAACAAAAGAATGACTTCAGGTTCGCTCATGGTAGGATGTCCTGAGTTTATCATCTCATCATTCTTCAATGTCAAAAGCACTGGATCTCCCCATGGAAAACATCCCCTTAAGCTGACCGAATCATACAATGAATCTTGCTTGTGTTTTGCAAAATTATTTGCGCAATTTAATTGCATAGTGCTGGTTACGTAAATGGTTAATGCCAGAGGTCACTTGGGAGAAGATCACCGGATGCTTAATTTGGATTTTGCAAAAGGTTAGAGTCCCTGGTTGCTGGCCACTAGTTCCCTGATATCCCTCTTAACCATGTCTGCCCAAAGAGAGACTCCTCCACTTAGACTTGAAAAATCAGACATGAAACATTTATAAAACTTAGATGGCCTAAAATTATTTTGGGGCACACCTTGCATCAACCATGTGTAGTTAATAGAATTTAATTTTAATATTGTTCATGAAGTTTATGTAAAGTACTGACCCGTGACTCAACTTTCCGCAGCAACAACTGCAAACTGTGAGCTTGCCAAGGAAAAGTACCTAATCCAATGTGTTCACAACTGCGGCTTGACTGACTTCCATCAGGTAACTGCTGCACACAACTAGGGCCTGCAAATCATCAGACATTACATTACACTACAATCACAGGATTCAAACAGGCAGGTTAGACAATTACTTCTACTTGTAATGAACATCTTAATACTTTCAGAAACACAAGTTGAGTAAAGTTGCAATTTCAATACAAGAGGAAATATAAATGAACTCTTCATAAATACTACATGCCATGCAACTCTTCCTAAACTACACACCTTTCAAACTACAACACATCGAAAATACACAGATATTTAGATTAATGATTACTGAATCATTTATTGTTTTGTTATTGTTATTAGATGGTGGGATGATTCAGAATTCTGCTACAGATTTCAACCCAAAACATGTTTTAAAATCTGTTTCAAGTGGCTTTACAGACCATATGGCAATGAAAATTCCTTGTCAAACTTTTAATATAAATAAAAGCACAAAATATACCTCTAAGAAGGGAGAGTAATGCTGGATCTTGATCCAACAACCTCATTTCCAAAGGCGCTTGTTCTCGACGCAAACGTTCCTGTAATTGCAACCAGCGCTCTTGACGTGCATGGTATTCCTGTAGTTCCCCCAACATAGACTGCAGGGATCTGCAAAAAAAACATCACAATTACTTCATGAAAATGTGGTAATTTAAGAATGGTTACTATTTCCTTCTGAATACTATCATTTTCCAAACCAATTGTCCTCATAGCAAAAAATTTTCAGTTAATAAATGAATCTGTCACTTTGAAATTCCCGTAAGTCAGTGTCTAATGCATTTTCACTTTTTGAGAGAAAATACAAACTGCAGGATAGATGCATAGTTCCATGGGTAAATCAGATTAATAATAGATTGGCCATAAGGACACTGCAAAGTTTTTTGGTTTTTTATAACTCTGTACGTCATTGAGTTGCGAGATATGTATAACTTTGTATGCATACAGAGTGTATGACTGGGATATCACTGACCATGAGATTGGTTTAAATGAATATAAATGAATGAAATAAAACGCAGAAATATTTGTTTGTAATGTTTTTGCCATATGAATCATGATTGATGTAGATGCACATTGATATTTCACGTACAATATTGTAATGTGTCAAATTACAAACTGAATGCGCATTTATTTACATGTTTAGGTAAAAAATTCCTGACAAGTTTTTTGAAATACCATAAGCCATACACTTTTAAATAAGTTCAGTGACTATTGTACTATTGATACAAGTAAATTACATGTCCCCATGTCATTCTCAATCAAGATTTATGCATCAAAAATTAAATATAAAAAACAGAGGAAAGTTCTATTAGTACTTAATTATTCAGTTTTTCTTGTTTTCCCACAACTTTACAAATCCTAACTTCCCGGGTTTTAAAAATAACTGAATCAAATATCTGTTGCATACTGCAAGGGTCAATGTTTTCCGTGTGCCCCGTCTGCAGCAACCCGCCTTGCGCTCCCCGACCCAGGACCTCAAATAGTTAATCCGAACCGACCCGTCGCTGTCCCATGTCTCCTTTTAACATCCTCAACATTCACCAAGAACGTTAGGAGACAGATCTCGTCGCAAAGTGCCGAGTCGAAAATACTCCCCCAAACTCCTCCATGGATATTTTCTATAATATGAACGGAATCCGAACAAAAGTTTTAAAAAAAAAAGTTTATTATACTTATATTTTATTATTTTTTGTACTATATAATTTTCAATTTTTAGAAATATTAACAAGTGTCACTACATGTTTTGAACCTTCATAAAAAAAATAGTGGTGCAACACAACAGTGCATACTTTTTTTGTTTTAGAAGCAGATATGTAATAATAATGACACAATTTCAATTCATAGTACATTTCAGTCGTCTCTTGATCACTCTTTACCAATTGTAACACATAAGTGCGAAAACTAGTTGTTTTAGGGCTAATGTATTAACCATGGCTGTGTTACTGGATCTCCTAAGAATGAGAAGTAAAGAGAATTTCACACCACCTTAACGTGGTGCTGCCATTCTCACATTGCAACATGATACAAAGAACTAAGCTAAGGTCCCATTTATAGGAAAACTATTATTAATTATTATTATTATTATTATTATTATTATTATTATTATTATTATTATTATTATTATTACTATCATTATTACTATCATTATTACTATCATTATTATTATCATTATTATTATTTTTTAAAGAAGAACAGGACATATTTTATAGTTTCATCTGATATGGATATGTAATGTTCATATTATAACATAACAAATTATATCTAACTGATCATTCATTTTTCTCGTGAAATACTGTTCAGTAAAAGAAGCACGGAAAATTCGAAATTGAAATTGTGAAAAAGAAAAGGGCAAAGCAACTCATATATTCAAAAAATTGTGCAAGAACTTATTTATTTAAACATATAACTTTGTAGAACAGATTTCATTCTGTTTTATGTTAGTTATTCGCAGTTTGTGAATAGACAGTTGGGCCATTGGGCCCTGCACCATCTTCGTAACAGTACTTTGGTCTATTAGAGAAAAAATTCAAAATAAATTTTGGGCCATTTTGAGAAAAGCTCATTTTGAAAGTTGTCTTTTCTCCACTTCAAATTACGTAAAAACTATTCAGGTTTTTGAACAATGACCCTATTTAGACATAACTTTGAAAAAAAAATTTCATTAATATAAAATCTCAATCTTCAATATTGTAAACATAGGAAGATGCCAAACTATTTTGAACTTGTGCAAATTTTCAAAATTCCAAATACTTAATTGAAAATGAGTTATGAACCATTTTTATAAGGTGTTGTTCCTGTTACTGTTGTTGTTCCTGTTGCTGTTGTTGTTGTACCTGTTGCTGTTGTTCCTGTTCATGATCCTGTTAATCTTGTTCCTGTTCCTGATCCTGTTAATCTTGTTCCTGTTCCTGATCCTGTTAATCTTGTTCCTGTTCCTGATCCTGATAATCTTCTTCCTGTTCCTGATCCTGTTATTGTTGTTCCTGTTCCTGTTATTGTTGTTCCTGTTCCTGATCCTGTTATTGTTGTTCCTGTTCCTGATCCTGTTATTGTTGTTCCTGTTCCTGTTCCTGTTGTTGTTGTTCCTGTTACTGTTGTTGTTGTTCCTGTTACTGTTGTTGTTGTTGTTGTTGTTCCTGTTGTTGTTGTTGTTGTTCCTGTTGTTGTTGTTGTTGTTCCTGTTACTGTTGTTGTTGTTCCTGTTACTGTTGTTGTTGTTCCTGTTACTGTTGTTGTTCCTGTTCACTGTTGTGTGTGTTCCTTTACTGTTGATGTTGTTTTCCTAGTTATCTGTTGATCTGTTCCGGTATGCTCGTTAGCTGTTCTGTACTTGGTTGTTGTGCTGTTACTGTTACTGTGTTGTCTGTTTCCTGTGTTGTTGTTTATCTGTTCTGTTGTTGTTTCTGTTACTGTTGTTGTTGTTTCTGTTACTTTGGTTTGTTGTTTCGTTTACTGGTTGTTGTTTGTTTCTTGGTTGTCTTTACTGTTGTTGTGTGTTTCTGTTGGTTCTGCATGGTTGAATGATTTAAACATAGTCTTATTTTCAAAAATTGAGGTTCTAAACTCACAAAATTTTTTTTCTTTTTCTTGTTTATGAGCCCACATCATATAGCCGTAAAAGGCCACCGAAAAAATAAATTAAAAGTGCATTAATAGCAGCTTGAGCTTGAACGAGTTTTCTCCAAAATTAACTATTCCTCAATCCAATGTGAATTGTACTCAAGGCCATAGGCATTTTTTTGAAACAAATATCGTTCTATTTTGAATGCTTTACATAAGTTTGGAAATTGATCAATTTATCTAAAAAATTGTTCCCAATTGCTTTATCCCTGTAAAATGGCATAGGAATTATTTTCATTGAAATCATTAACATTTTGAAAATACAAAAATTCCAATTTGTCAGGGTCTTCCTAAGACTATAATACTCAAGATGGAGACTTTTTTCTCCAGAAATCTGTTCAAAGACAGATTGAACATATGTTCAAAGACAATGAGGTCATGCATATTTTTTCGAAATCATGAGCAGTTTTCATGTAAATCTGCATACAGCAAAATTCAACACAAGCACAACATTTCATTTGCATGAGACATATTTCATTAAAGGAAAAAATCTCTCTTGAATATTGTAGTTGCAGAAAGACGTGAAAAAATGTAACTTCTGCTAAATTCAGAAAATCAGAGATTTCAACAAAAATGAAACCTGTGCTACTTGTTTAAGTATTGAATTGAATTGATGCCCTTTTTACGTGGTGAGACTCATTCTATACAAAATCTGAGAACAATTTTTAATCAAAAAATTTGAAGTTGTTTTTGAGAAAATTTTGATGTTGATCATTAGAACGAAAATCATTTTCAAATAAAAGAGGATATGTAACATGTGAGATCAATCAAGGAATGAAAGGTTTGGTGGAAATCTTACTTACAGTCTCATAGACAGATGGGCAGACTGACACAAACCATTTTTTCACCAACAAGAATCTACGAATTGTGGATTCTGACTACAAGTGCAGAGGAAGTAATATACTGCATATTGGAACAAGATACATGAATTTATATTGCAGGGCCTAATAGTTTTAATTTTTATTTTACCCTTTACAGTAAAACTATCAGGGCCACAGAATACGAGTTAGCTGTTTTTCCCACAGCACTATAATACATTCTCTATATGTAAGTAGTACTATGCGAAAAATAAAAATTAATATTGCACAAGTACAATATTAATGATAGGACCTTTTTTCTTATATGAAATCTGTTCTTAACTATAGATGCTACAACTGCTTGTACTTTCTTGCATCAATAATGGTTACGTAAATTTATAATGTAGTGGTCGCTAGCGCCCCTCTAAAAGAATCGCCACCGGGACGTAGCAGCGAGACAGCGGCGCCCCAGGAAAATACGAGCATCGCCCACGGGAGGTTGGGTTTAACGGAGCCGTCACGCTTCGGTCGGCGCGATCGGGCCAGCGAGCGTTAAGCCCTGTTCGTGTATAAAGCGGTGACCAGCGAGTGAAGAAGGCAGTTTAAGTTGTCCCAGCATAGTGCGAGGTACGAGAGTGAACGTGATAGAGAGTGGCACTGCTACCGGCAAGTTTAAAGGACATCTCTTCTGGTATCTGGATCGCCACCACGGCATAGTTATTGAACATCTCTTCGGATTCTGTTAAATCTGTCCCAGTAAATCTCCTAATTATTTTGGGATCACGCATATTAACGGCTTTCACTGTATGTTCAGCAATCATGAATTTAAAAAAAAAAAAATGTTCTATGAAATTAACTTGATTTGGTCACAACATATAATACCGCAATTTCTGTCTAGATTAACATATTGTAGCCACCACTTCTAAAATTGTAGCCCATTAGGCAAGAAAATATATTTCATTTAATATTAATATGTCAACACACATTTGACAATCCAAAAAAGTGGGTACTCTGATGCAGCATTATTAAAGTAATTACATGAAGAAATAATATTAAGTTAATGGAGATAATTTCCATTATTTCTATACAAAAATATTTTTTAAAAAAGCTTTGGTAATGTCAGGAATTGGAATTCAGGCTTCAAATTACAAAATCTTAGCGTTATCTGCCTACCAAGACACCACAACCAGTGCAGAATAGTTACCAAATATCAGTATATACAAAGCTTATGATTATGCCAAATGGAAATGCTTATGATTTTAACTTAACCTTACTCTGCAATTACTAATATTTTAAAAAATTGTATGTGAAATGAAAAAGATCTAATACAAAAGGGTAGATTCTCTTATATAAGAAATCTCTAAATCTATTTAGAATATTTAAAACGTACTAAAAAAATTGATCTTCGCACTTTTACGAATTCCAGGATTTTAATAAAAACTGGATCTATGCCATTTTATTAAGTAACCTTTTCTCTATTTAAGTAAAAATTAGAGCCATTTTTTAGATCATTTTTAAATATCATAGGAATAAATGTAAAGGAGGTATTCTGAAAAATAGAAAGTTCCATTTCAGATTCAAGAGCTGGGATATCAGCCAGATAAGAAATAATAATTGATTAAATCCTGTGTGACTTTGGGCGCTAGTTTTCTTCACAGACGCAAGTCAGTTGTTTGTAGAAGAACTTTTCCAGTCTCGAGGACCAATATCCAAATATGGATTCTGACTACATCATGAATTCAAGTATGTTCTCCTATGTTGCACAAATATGAAGAAATGATGGGTGAAGAATTTCCATTTTATTTTGTAATTTACTTTCATATCAACCCTCCCACCTCCCATCCCTTCATCACTTTACTTCTTGTTTGCCAACTGTCCCTGACCCGTCCCTTGCAGTAGGAACTTTGATCTCCAATTACTTGAAGATGAATTGGTCTGTAGGATTGAAGGCATTTGACAGTGAAATTTACAGGCTTTCAAATATTCCAAATCCATCCTTCACAGATTTATGAGTTAAAAACTTTTAGTTGTACAGATAGACAACAATTTTTATAGATACATTTCTCAAGAAAACAAAATACAATGTAACTTACTGATGCAAGTCCAACAGGCCTTGCTCTAATTTGTGATGACATTTTACAGTATGTTTCAACTTGGAGGCTGTTTCCAAAGAAGGGAGTAACTTCAGCGCATTGTCAAGACACGCCACAGACCTAAAACATACACATATCAGTATAATTTTAAGAACAGAACTAAATATATTCATTATCATTCATCACCATCATGTTAAAGGCTAGAGCAAAATAAGAACGTAAAAATTGTACACAAATCATTTCAACCACATCTGTTTGAAACATCATGTTTGGCACCAAGAAAAATTAAAATTTACCAATTTTAAATCACCACTTTCTCTCTCTCCCTCCAGTTATAAAAAAACGTTTTTTTACTCTTTTTTCTCCTCTACATATCATATTAAGTTTAAACGCCTAGAATGTGCAAGAATTCCTTTTTTTATCAAACGCTTCATTCAACATTTCAAAAATATAAATGATATAATACAAGAATACTTAAATTAGAGAGTGGAGCTACACTTTTCTGAATTATTTACAATGATAATGTAATATTATAATATTGCAACCTATATTGTATTGAACCATACGCCATAGGGAAAATTGTTGAAGTAAACTAGCATTGTGAATTTTTTACTAAAAATTGTGCCAAATTAACCACCTTCCTATTTGCGATGTCATCCATTATTACAGACAGATAAAAAGGGTCTGAATTTGAACAGGATATTGAAGGAAGCTGTAGAATGCAATGCCTAGATTGCATATAAAAAAGTTGGTCATCAAACATTTCCAAGCATACAGAGGTACTAAATTAAGACAACTCTCGATTAAAAATCATAGCCAGATCCTTATAAGTAGGGGAAGGATTTTATTGAAATGTCATTTTCTTTTATTTTCACTTTATAACAATGTTGTTTAGTATAGAAATTCATTTTATGTTATGACAATACAAAATAATCAATTTTTATGAAATTTCTTTGCATTTTTCATCATGTTCTACTAAAAAGTCATTTTTTTCCTTTTTACATCATTTTCTAAATTTTTTGTAATTGATTTAAATATCATTTTAATGGGACTTGCTCCAAACAATATTACATGATACAACAAATGTTCACAGAATTCCTGAGTAGCCTATTTGATTTCTTTGCCCGTATATTGTCATGTCAGCCGTTGTGAGTACTAAGGTACCTGTGACACTTATTGGCGCCATTTTCGTGATAAATAAAGGCAGAGATTCACTTTTAAAGAACAGTCCAAACACAAAGTTCACAAGTTGAGTTCACTTGAACGAAAGCATGTTGTTGATTCCGTCAACAATATATCCATCAGATTGAGTTGTTCATCTGAAACTGTTATGATCAAATTTTTTTACATCATTTTTCTTTGTTTTGTGGGCATTTTTAAAACATTTTATTGATAATTTTTGGTAATGTTTAGATCATCAAAATCTGCCCCTACTTATAAGAGTAAGAAATGTATTAAGAAAAATGAAAATATTTAATTTGAGATAAGTTCTTTTGTACTAAATATATATAATTTCATTTTGTTTTATGTAAGTTTGACTTCATGAACTTTGACTGAATTTTAAAATTAGAAAAATTGTTTTATTATTTTAAAGCTGACAGATATAATTGTTTACATTTTATTCAGATTAACTTCTAACAAGAAGGAGAAAAAGATGTGCCTAATAATGTTCCATCTTTAGGTGCCCTTTATTTTTCTGTATTGTCCTAAGAACTTTAATCACTTTTTTGACTGGTCAACCACAATTTTTTGCTTAAATTCATGTTCCCTTAAACTAATTCTTCAGATAATCATTAATTTATAACATTTATAAATTTAGTGTTTTTCTTCATAAACAGTTTCAAAATCTAAACATAATGTAATTTATTTCTTTGGAGGGATCAGTTCACTCAACCGTCTATATCTCTTTATTAAACAACACCTTTAAGGCAAGGATTACCTCAATATATTTCAATTCGAATTGAGCCATTAGGTGTTTTGTTCTGTGGAATCCTTTCTCCTGCTCTTATTTCCATGCATTCCAAACACCTTAGAAATACCATTATCCCTGAAGTGAAGTGACCAGCAGGTTGTCGTTTATCTCCAGTCTTCCGACACAACCTGTGTATCACAAAATCTTAAACAAATCTTACCTATTGTAGTCCCCCAGGATGGCATACACAGTGCCCAAGGCCAAATGGTTCTGAGGAACATGTGGCGCGTGGTCTACAGCAGCGTGCAGCACCAGAGCTGCTTCAACCAAAGCTTTTGCCTGCTGCAACAGGCCTCCCAGGGTGAGCAGGGCCAAATCTTTGTATTGCCTGGAAAGCAATCAAATACATCCAATTAAATTCAACCCATACAAACAAAGATCCAAAAACAAATGTCACACAGGAAATATTTTCAGTCACTATAGTGTTGCCCCCTTACATAAAAACTATTCTCACTGCAAAATTACAAAAACTGAACTAAAATGTAGATATCAATAAAAATGAGAATAACAATATGTACATAAATTATTTACACTTATGCTGTGTCCCCCATAGACAGCAATGTACATTTCAGTCGTCTATGCAACTGCCGACGACTGCAGAGTTTTGTGGCGCTATAAATCGATGCTTTGAAATTTTAACCGGTAGAAGGAAAGTTATATTCTGATGAATCAATGGGAAAATGCATCTTTCTTTCCGATTGTTAATATTAATGTTTGTTCCCATGTTCAACATGGTAATACCGTTGATTGCTGAAGTTACGCTTCTATCCTTCGTTGCCACTCCGCTCAGTCTTCTGTCTCCATAAAACTCATGGCGTCGGGAAGGCCACCTCCCTCAAATCCGACAGTTGCAGGGGCTGCTTAAGGAAATATTGTCCTTTTAATTTAAAATCAAGTCAGAAGGTATAATTTTATCCCTAATTACTATCAAAACAAAACATTAATATATGATACATCACTGGATTCCTCTTTTTATTATCTATCCATAACTAGTAAGAAAAATATATAGTTCTATTTAAAAAATCCAACATGATTAACTTTCTCGAAAACTAAAAATATATAAGGCAATACCTCTACGGTACATTTCTTGCCCCATGATTCCGCATTGTTGGGGGAAATCTGATTATCAAAAAGAAAAATAATGTTTATTTTAACAAAACAATGATATATATTGAATTAGCTTACATTTTATTGTATTTTTTTTTTAAACACTTATATGTTCGTAACAAATAATGTACTTCAGCTTCCGGGTCAATGCCTCCTTCTAGATCAGGTTTTTGTCCAGTGTTCCAGATCCATTGAGCAAATCGTCACGTCTTGCAAATACTTAGGAATACAGCTAGACAGTAAACTGAGCTGGGAAAATCAAGTCAATT